TTAGGGCAAAAGAGACCCCACATACCTTAGTTCCAGATCTATAAGACATCAAATTGGAGACAAGTCAAGACAGGAAGGATTCAGAGTCAAAACCATACATCTCGATGGGATGGAGGCTACAGGTGTGCCTGAGATGCTGAGCTCCTCACGGCGGTCAGGCCTGATCACATCTTGCTGCTAGTGGTTCACAGTTACTGCAGTGGGCCATGCAAATATGATCATCTTTCTGTGTGCCATATGTAAAGAGGTTGGGAAGTGCTATTCTAACCAACCCTTCTCTTCAATGACAAGGATAAAGCAAAATGACATAAGCCCAAGGAAGCAGGATCCGGTACTGCAATGTGAGGCATTGAATATGATTGGGAGACTCTCAAAGGGACTCAGAGGTCAGGCAGAGCATCTTGGAGAGTTAGAGCTCAGAACCCAGTGAGTGGCCTGAGAAATGGGCATGAGTGACCTGCAAGAAGAATGGATCCTGACCAAGTGTTCAAGGCTGCAGTGAACTATGATGGCACCACTGCACTTCAGCCTGGGCAGCAGAGTGAGACTCTGCTCCCCACTCTCCAACTAAAAAAAAGAAAAAAAAAAAAGAGTGGAGCTGCATACTGACCCATCTGTACTCATCGATGTGACACTATACTACCACCCTGGGCTGTGCCCTGACCAAGGCCAGACTGAAAGAGTGGGTAGATTCTGGTTTGCAGGAAAATCAGGTAGGCACATTAGGTTCAAATGGAAAATGCCAGATTTTTGTAGCAATGCAGTACATTTAGAGCCATTGTTCTCCATATTTCTCCTCTATGATAATGTCAGATGCTTCCTGATATGGCTTAGTTATGTCCCCATCCAAATCTCATCTTGGATTGTAGTTCCCATAATCCCCATGCGTCAAGGGAGGGACTCAGTGGGAGGTAATTAAATCATGGGGGTGGGTTTTTCCCATGCTGTTATTGTGATAGTGAGTAAGTCTCATGAAATCTGATGGTTTTATAAAGGGAAGTTCCCCTGCATAAGCTCTCTGGCCTGCTGCCATGTAAGATGTGCCTTTGCTCCTCCTTTGCTTTCCACCATGACTGTGAGGCCTCCCCAGCCAAGTAGAACTGTGAGTCCATTAAACCTCTTTTTCTTTATAAATTACTCAGTCTTGGGTATGTCTTTATTAGCAGCATGAGAACAGACTAATACACTTGCCTTGTACTCATATTCAGTGTCCTTTCATCTCCCAACACACACCCAGTTATCTTACTTCCTGAAAGCAGAGCCTGAGACAAGGACTTGAATGCAAGTAGTTTATTTAGGAGGTGATCTCAGGAAATAGAAGCAAGAGAGTAGGAAGGGTGAGATGGGAAGGAGAAAAGGCAAACCTGGGGATGTGTTATAGAGCTTGCTGCTGTGGGCAACTGAGATTCAACATATGCTAGGACCTCATGCAAAGCATGTGGAATTCTCCCAGATTGATGCAGCTGAAGGATGGGAGGCCCAGTGATCTTAACTTCTTTGCACTTCAGAGCTCTGCATACGTGAGGGTGCTCTGCAACAGAGGGCAGATAGATGCTTGGCATGAGCTTGAAGCAAGAGGACTTTGAGCACATGCAGAATTGAAATGGGCCTTTGGGAATGTGACATGGGCACCAGAGGTGCCTGCTGCTTCAATTGAAGAGGCTAGGTTAGAGCCATGATTCTCAAAGTGTGATTCTTCAGAATAGCTGGATCCACATCACCTGGGACTTATTAGAAATGTTCTAACTCACTTGGTTCTGAGTTAGAAATTCTAGAGGTGAAGCCTAAGTATTTCCCATATGCCCCTCCAAGTCAACCCTCACCCCCACCAATCTCCTAGTGGCAACCACTGTTCTTAATTTTTTCCACTGTAGATTGATGTTACCTTTCAATTTTAAAAAAAAATTATATGATAGGTACTCTTTTGGGTAAAGCTTCTTGCACTCAGCATAAAGTTTTGAGATTTTTAAAATATTGCTGTATTAATAGTTTATTTATTTTTATTGCTGAGTAATAGCCCACTGAGTAAATATATCAGTTTGTTTATTCATTCGTCTGTTGATATGTTTTCAGTTTTTGATGATTTTGAATAAAGCTGTAATGAACATTCTTGTACAGGCTTTTTAGACAGGTACCATACATCTTGCTGCATCATGAATGCTTTACTTCTAAACCCAATGGTTACATAACACTGAATTCTGTGGAAATCACTCTAACCCAATGGCTCTCAAATTTTAGTGTGCACATCACAGGCTCCTTGTGCTTAGGAAAGCCAGACAATACTATAGCCCTGTAGTTGAGGGCCATTTGAAATAAAAACAATCACCAAAACAAACATGAAAAAGACATGGCATTGAAGAGACCTTAAAAAGAAAGGCAAAAGGCTGGGCCTGTGGCTCACGCCTGTAATCCCAACACTTTGGGAGGCCAAGGCAGGCAGATATTTTGAAGTTAAGAGTTCGAGACTAGCCTGGCCAACATGGGGAAACCCTGTCTCTACTAAAAATACAAAAATTAGCTGAGTGTGGTGGCTTGCACCTGTAACCTCAGATACTCAGGAGGCTGAGGCAGGAGAATTGCTTGAAACCAGGAGGTGGAGGTTGCAGTGAGCTGAGATTGTGCCACAGCATTCCAGCCTGGGTGACAGAGTGAGTCTGTCACAAAAAAATAAATAAAATAAAATAAAAAATAAAAAAAGGAAGGCAAAGTATCTCCTCGTCAGAACCCAGTTGTGAACATATGTAGAGGATGACTAGAGTTTTTCACTACTCTGTGCTTGTCTGAAAAAGTGCTGCTAGTGTTGGTTGTAGGGTTACAAACAAATTTTACCAAGTAGGTACATTGCAAATGTGGAACTGAAAAAATAATCAGCATCTAGTGTATTGAAATTTGATGCTTCTTTCTTTTTTGAGACAGGGTGTTGCTCTGTTGCTTAGGCTAGAGAGCAGTTGCCTGATCACTTACTATGGCCTCTAACTCTTAGGCTCAAGCAATCCTCCTGCCTCAGCCTCCCAAGTAGCTAGGACTATAGGGATATACCACTGCATCCAGCTTACATATATATATATGTTTTGCAGAGACAAGGTCTCTTACCTAAGCTGGTTTTAAACTGGCCTCAAGTGACCCTCCCACCTTGGCCTTCAAGTGCTGGGATTATAGGTATGAGTCACTTGTCTAGCCCATGTAGTAGTTTTTAATCAATGTTTCCTCTACCAGCTTTTCCTTTAATGATAATGTTATCTCTTTCCCATAGGGATATAAATACTTCACTCCCAGAGTGGATAGCATTGAGATATCCCTTTGGGGTCTTTATGTAACCCTTTCACATGCCCCTCCCAGGGCAGGAGAGAGTGCTGCTGTTGGTGACAAGTGTGATGGCCATGAGACTTCTATTAACTGAGGTTAATAGGTTGAATGGTCCATTTCTCTGTTTCTTTCTACTCCATCCCCATCCCTCTTGAGCTTGAAGCCTTGAGCTCAGAAGGCTACTGGAGGGAAGCCTGCAGACCTCCAGCTGCTTGCCATAGGGGGTTGCGGCTGTGAAAGACAGGAATACCCTTTTTCTATTTGCACCCAAGACATGCTCTCCAAGCCAACTTCACCACTACTGAAGCCGATATTTTGAGCTGGCTAATTATATCTATTCTCGGTTTGATTAAAGATCTCAATTAGAGGAGGATGATTAATCCAAACTCCTAACATGCCAGTTTTCCATTTTGCTTGCTTTTGACTTGTTGCCCCAGATCTAGGATTGAAACATCTGTGTCCTCAGGGGCTGGTCTAAGACTCTTTTAAGCTGTGCTCATTATGTATCCCCTTCAACATCAAGATTCTTTAATCAAGCTGGTGTGCTTTGAACCCTGATGCATTTTTTTATTCTTTTGAGGTTTTCTGACCTACCTCATCAGTACTTTCAAGAATTCTGAATTGTAGGGAAAGCTTGGTTTTATACAACCAAGATCCCCTGCTACTCACAACAAGGTGATAATTATTTTAGTGTAGGGTTTTTCAACTTTGGAACTATTGACATTTTGAGCCAGATAATTCTTTGTTGTTGGGGGGATGTTGTCCTGTAGAATGTTCCGCAACATTCTGGGCTTCTCTCCACTAGATGCCAGTAGCTTTCCCTCCCTCCCACACTGCTCAGTTGTGAAAACCAAAAATATCTCTAGACATTGTCAAAGATCTACTGGGGAACAAAAACCACCCCATTAAGAGCTACTTTTCTAGTGGAAAATGTACTTAGCATAGTGGGAGCAGAGTATAGTAGAAAACAGACCCTGGCAGGGTCAGGGGAGGTGTCTCAGTGGAAGTAGCATTTGAGCTGGGCTTTGTAGTATTAGAAAGATCTGTTAGTCACAGATAGAATAATTTTTAAAGTATAAACAGGGAAGTATTCACAGCTCTCTGTGATGCCTTCTTAACCAAAACCACATTTCCGACCAGTCCCATTTATGCCCTCAGACGTCCTAGGGATCACCTGGAGAGGCCTGGCTCTTCCCTACCTCAATTGCTTTGTTTATTCTGTTTGAGTAGATTCCATCACTATATGTACAAATTTTACTTTAATGAGCTACTTTACTTTACTGAGCTGTGCACCATTTTTGAATAAGGACTGAATTCCCAAAGCAAATTCCTCTAGAGATGAGTCATTTTCTCTTAAGCATTAAGCCTGCACTTTGGATAGACAAAGGAGTAGGTTATGCTGTGAGCAGCATGAAAATGTTGAATTCAGTGTTATCAGGAATTTTAGGCATCACTTCAGACGATCATCTGGTGGACTGTGGCAGTTGTTGCACATTCATGAGAGGAGACAGGCTCACCTGGGATGTGACTCATCTGATGATGTACTGATCTAGCTGTGGGTAGAAGGGAATCTGCAAGGAGGGTGGGAGGAAGAAACTGACAGCATCCTTCCCCAGGTTGCTAAAATCTGTAGTAACACTGGTGGGTGGTGGGAGTCTCACAGCAGGGGTAAAAGAATCACACGGAAACATCAATGAGTCTGGCCATTTATAGACGCCACAAAGGCAGGCTATGATTACAGTTTGGTTGTAAGTACTGAGATACCCACTAAGGTACCCCTTGAGGAGGCTGGGGAAAGGGAACTGGCAAAGCAGCACAAAGATGCAGGGAGGGCGATGGGTTGGGCAACGTATGTCATATAATGATTTTGGAGGACAGTGATGGGTAGGATTGTGCTTCACCCACCATGTTTTTTAATAACATAACTTAGAATAATAATAATACTTGAATTAGCAGTATAGACAACAGGAGTAGCATCAAATGTGTCAGCTAGGCTGTAGCACCAGGCAGTTCACGTCATGTGATCTCTCCCTCAAAAGTAAATCATTGTGGACTGAGCACAGGATACATCGTCCCAGAGATTCAGCTTGAAGTCAGAAAGGAGAAGAGCTAAGACCTGCACTCCCTGGAGTAGCAGTGTGCAGCTTTCAGAGTTTGGAAGATTTTAGTCAGTTGAATGGGATGTTATTATCTAAAACAATAGGATCCCTCACATTGTGCTTCAGATACCGGCGGAAGGTTATCAGAAGCATTCACTGATTCTCTGAAAGCATCACAGTAGGATGTCGGCAGAGACTTGGCTGTTTCAGGAAACTGGACGGAGGTGTGCTCTTGTTTAAGAAAACCCATCACAAAACAAAGCATTCCTACAAAGGAGGCACTGAAACAATTTCCTGATTTAAGAAAGTGATCACTATTAAGTTTCTTGAACTATTGTTCTCTCATGGTGTGTTTAATTACATCTTTATGTTTAAGAATTATATTAATCCACAGCTTTCCAGAGAAGAGCTAAATATACGACTGTGAAAGACAATGTAAACCAAACTGGGTTTTAGAACGTTAATGTAGTTAAGCACCAGACCTTGCAATGGCCCTTTCTATTTCATGCAGATGTGTATCCAGTGTCTCCTGATACACTTCTTAGTTGCTTGCTCCAGTGAGAAGAAAGAAGGGCCTAGATAAAGTAAACCAACAATTCTGCTTCATGTCAGCACCCAAGCATCAAAGATGTGAAGACACCATGCAGGTTCCTGCCTTCAGAGTCCTCCTGTTGATCTGCGTCCCCTCTTGTACAGCAAGCACTGGGACCTGTCAAAATACTGATGACTCATCACTGAGTGATTGCCAAGACAGCAACCAAAAGGACAGATGCTACCAACAGAATAGAAAACAGCAAGCCCTGTCTTCACTGTGGAGTCCAGAATGATGGACATCACACAACTATCTGACAATATAGCTCCAGTACAGGAAGCAAATATCCATGGCAAATAATTAGAGGCCAGTTTTCTGCCTTTGAGAAACCCTAGAATGGAGCACCCAAACCTTCTCCACGTGTCTACCATCTTCTCCACCACATGGATTGTAAATAACTCAGTCCATTTTGTATACTGAGAAATTTGGCCTAGTTGAGTTGGTTGAGGTCAGTAGGAATCTGAGTTTGTTCCTGAGTTTTGTAATCCTGGTCATACCCAGGTCTCTGATGACATGTGCTAGTACATTGACTCTATGCTAGTACAGTACCAGGTTAAATCAATCTAGCTTACTAAATGAATCCCACTGAAAGCCTACACTATACTTCAGCAACAGTCATTGCAAACTGCCTCATTAGTAAATATCAGATTCTCCTTCACTTATGTCGCTAACAATTTAAGTGTCTTCTATCCTCGAAAACCATTATTCACCAGAGGCTGCCATCGGCCAGCAATGTTTAAATTTAAAGGCAGAGAATACAATAATGTATTCTAATTAACATCTAGAAATAAATTCTCTGGCTTTAGGTAAACATTTCTACTTTCCTCCTGTTTCTGGTCTATCCTGAATTTCATTCCAATCCCACTGTTTTATTTTCCACAGGAATTCATGAGAGTAATACATATTAATGGCTTGGAAAAAGATAAAAAGCACATAATATAAAATCTTTTTTTTTTTTTTTTTTTGAGACAGAGTCTTGCTCAGTCGTCAGGTGCCAGGCTGGAGTGCAATGGCATGATCTTGGCTCACTGCAACCTCTGCCTCCTGGGTTCAAGCAATTCTCCTGCCTCAGCCTCCCGAGTAGCTGGGACTACAGGCCTGCGCCACCACGCCCGGCTAATTTTTGTATTTTTAGTAGAGACGGAGTTTCACTATGTTGGCCAGGATGGTCTCGATCTCTTGACCTCATGATCTGCCAGCTTCGGCCTCCCAAAGTGCTGGGATTACAGGTGTGAGCCACTGCGCCCGGCCCATAATATAACTTAAATTCAAGGTACCCAAGCAATAAAACTGACATTGGTCAGCAACATTACATGCTTAACAGAAGATATATATATATAGAGAGAGTTTTACATACACTTACCCATTTGTATGCCTATCTATGTTTACATTAGTTCTGCCACCACCTAGATATTAGCACCATTTTTAAATAGCACCATTCTGCTGAACGGATAGGTAAAGGGAGACATGGGACATTGTGTTCCATGATGAGTGTTAAACGTATCCGCGCATGAGTCAGAAAATATGCTGCCCATCACATGAAGGCCACATCCTTGCCTTTCTCCCTGTCAAGAATTGGTTCTGAGATCTTCTTCCAATTGACACTTATGTCCCTCCACCCGCCCACCTACCCTCTTTCTCTGGGTTCAGGTCATGTAAGTCCCTTCCCTTAGAAATCATTTTGTCTAGAAATGTCCTCTGAATTTGAGGCCAAGCCTACTTTGACTTCTGTTGGGAGGTAAGAACGTCCAGAACAAGCATTCTAACTTTCATTTCAGTTTCTTTGGACTCCCTAATTCACCTGTTCTCCCCATGGTGAAAACTAACTACATTTGGGTACACTGAGGAGTAGATCCTTTTTATCTTATTTTTAGAAGTGTGTTTTCTCTAGATTAGAAGTTTGTACTATGTTCCTGTACTTAAGTACAATTTACCTGGTTCTTTGATATATTTCAATATGGAAACCCCATTTTCCAACATGAGGGGATGTGAGAGGAGGTGGCAGCCTGGAGTTGGTCATAGTGGTCTTTGTGTATACACTCCCTGCAGCAAGACGATGGTGGGACCTGAGCTCGTGCTTCCCATAGGGACTATACAGAAGAGAGGAAGGCAGCCGGGAAGATTCATTTTCCCTTCTGAGAAGGAGTGTGTATTTGCCAGGAAAGTGGGAAGAATAAAGGCCCACCGTTCCTTTTCTATAACAGTAAGAAATTGATTTCTGCTTATTTGCTTTTTAGGAGTTTTCACACAAACGATCTTCAAGCCAGCAGTGTTTTCTGTGTAAGTGACCTAAATCCCTGGGCTGTGTTTCCCGTGCCTGCTTCCTCTTAGTCAAGTGTCTCAAGGTTGACAGGAGACTCTAGGCAGCCTAGATACGGAGCCCTACAGGGATGGAGGAAGAGACTGAGGGATGTAACCAGCACTTCCTCTTCCTGCCCCAACTGAACACGGGTGAAGGAAGCAGTCCTCTGCCTGGATGAATTAAAGGAATGTTCCCAAAGCTCCACCATGACATTTTAAATAGCAGCTGCCCCAGGCAGGGAGGAAAAAACAAAACAAAACAAAAACACAAAAAGGTATTCATGGAGCTAAATTAAGAAGATTATTTGTCCCCTGGGTAACTGTGGCTCTGTTGCCTGATACTCTTGAGGTAGTTGGGGGGAAAGATGGTCTCTTTGTTTTCATCTTTAAGGGAGAACAAAAATAAAACATTTCTCCAATCTGTCTACCTTTCCCAGGGGCCAATCCCAGGTGCTGCCTGATTCTTCTAGATATTTCACCTTCCAATCAGGGAGTAGCAAGTATGGCAGTCCAGGCCTCCTGTGAAGGACATTTTGTGGCTACAGGAGCACAATGGATTTTGTTTCCTTATGACCCAAAGCTGAACCTGAAATACATGAAGCAAAACCTCGATGAAGCAGCTCCCAGGGCTAAAGCATGTCACAGTCAGCAGGCTGCTGCAGTCTATGGTGGAAGGTGGCTTCCTTCTGGGCTTAGTGGGCTTTGGGCTTTTGGAGCAACCATTGCTTTCTTTGCCTTTGGGTGTGGGTGATGTGTGTCTGGGGACACGAGAAGCAGCACTGCACCCTCACGGTGGGCACAGAACATTTCTTCATGGCTTTCAGTGTCTGGCAGAAACTGGTTGACAGCTTGTCCTTGGTGCAAAGTAAATCTGTAGAAGGAGGAAAAAAAGAATAAGAAAAAAGTCAATGGTTATCTTTGTAGATATATGAGCACAACTTTTATTAATGTAAGACTTTATATGTCTACCAAGGAGCCGTAACAATTCATAACAATAGGTGGTATCTGCTAAACAGGTATTACATATCAGACACTGTGCAAAGTGTTTATGCTAACCTGAATTATCAGTCACAGTCCTTCACTCCCATGTCACTGTGTGATACAGAACATTCCACCTTGCCATGGCTCCCTGGTGGCTGGAGAATCCTTCCCAACTACTTGCCTTTGGGTTCAACTCTGTGACTTGCTTTACACAATGGGATGCTGGTAGACAAGATTTCTGCAGTTACTTGGAATGTGCAGGAGGACAAACCTTCCCCGATGAGCTTCTGCTGTCACCATAAGAAGAGGGCCAGACGCGGCTCAAGCCTGTAATCCCAGCACTTTGGGAGGCTGAGGCAGGTAGATCACAAGGTCAAGAGATCGAGACCATCCTGGTCAAAATGGTGAAACCCCGTCTCTACTAAAGATACAAAAAATTAGCTGGGCATGGTGGCACGTGCCTGTAATCCCAGCTACTCAGGAGGCTGAGGCAGGAGAATTGCCTGAACCCAGGAAGCAGAGGTTGCAGTGAGCCGAGATCGCACCATTGCACTCCAGCCTGGGTAACAAGAGCGAAACTCCATCTCAAAAAAAAAAAAAAAAAAAAAAAAGAAGAAGAAGAAGAACCTGGCTTGTGCAGCCACCAAGGGGGATAACAGACACATGGAGCAGACCTAAACTCAATCTATAGTTAGCAGTTAAGGCCAGCCAAAGCCAAGCTCAATCACCTGAACCTTGGCTGACCTACAGATGCTGAGCAAAAAATACATGACTGCACATTATATGAAAAAGACACACGCACATGCATGTTTATAGCAGCACAATTTGCAATTGCGAAGATACGGAATCAACCTAACTGCCCATCAACCAATGAGTAGATACAGAAAATGTGGTATATATGCCTCAGGGAATACTACTCAACCAAAAAAAAAAAAAAGAAATGAAATAATGTCTTTTGCAGCAACTTGGGTGAAGCTGGAGGCCATTATTCCAAGTGAAGTAACTTAGGAATGGAAACCTAAATATATGTTCTCATTTATGAGTGGGAGCTGAGCTATGAGGACTCAAAGCCTAAGAATGATATCATGGACTTAGGGGACCCAGGGAGGAAACCTGAGGGTGGGGAGGAATAAAAGACTACGTATTGGGTATAGTGTACAGTGCTTGGGTGACAGGTGCACTAAAATCTCAGAAATCACCACTGAAGAACGTGACTTTTGACTATCCCCCACAACTATTTTGTTACTCCCAAAACTACTGAAACTAAAACAAAGAAAAAAATACATGACTGTAGTTTTAAACCCCAGAGGGTCGGGGTGCTTTGCTGTGCAGTATTGCTGTGGCAATAGCTGAATGCAGGGTTTTCTGTGCTTCACTACATTTAATCTTTACAGCACTGCTAGCAAACAAGCATTTTTTTTCCCATGTCACAAACCACAAAAGTAAGGCTTCAAGCAGTCAAGAGCTTGTACAAGGTTGTCCAGCTGATAAATGGCATGGCCAGATCTGAACACAGGCAGTCTTAACTCTAGAGCTCAGGCTCTCATCAATCATACTATTCAGAGTGTCAAGCCAACAATCAGTCAGCAAAATAACCAGTGCTTCCAGAACGAGTGAGGGATACAGACGTATAAACTGTGATCACCGCCCTCCAGAACTTTACCACGTAGATGAAGGCAGATGACATGTGCAAATAATTCCCAGAGTAAGCATACAATTAGTCATCTGAGTTCTAACCCTTGCTCTCCTCTAGCTCTGGGCAAGTGTGTCCCTTAATTTTCTTGGCCTCGTTTTTCTCGTACAGGAGTCAGGGAACGATACTGGGTTGCTTAGGAATTGGACGATACTCCACACACTTGTATGAGCGCTACTCAGATGGCAACCGGCCCACAGGTTCTGAATCTGAAAGAAGTTCAATCCAATGTTTTTGTCTAGAAAGTGAAATTGTTTTATGCTTGCCTTGAATGCCTCTTGGAGCTCTCATGTTTCTTTCTCTTTTACAGAGAAAATATATTCATAGTTCTGAAGAAAAGCACTTTCACAAACAGGCAACTGTCCTCTGTAAATGTAACAGCCAGGAAAGGTAGAAATGGAAATAATATCCTCTCCATCCCAAATCTGTGACAGTGTCTTTGCCTCTCTATGCTTTTTTCACTTTTAGAACATAAAGGCAAAAAATACTTTTTATCTCCTCAGGACTCCGTATTCTCTCAATTGTGTCTTATTTTTGTGAAGAAATGAATGTTTTCAGTGAGCTTCCAGAGTCCCGCTTGGTGCTCAAGTTATAAGTGTTTAGGAATTGGTAACATAATGCTCCTAGAACCCAGAACCTCAGTCTTCATCTCTTCTCCTTCAGGCCTCTTTTTTTTAAGCCTCTTATAAAATCCCAGCCTCTCTTAAAACCCCACAGGAAATTGTCTGACACCCTTGGAAGTTTCAGAGAGAGTACACGTTTCTGTTTTTTGAGATGGAGTCTCCCTCTGTTGCCCAGGTGGAGTGCAGTCGCTCGAGGTCGGCTCACTGCAACCTCTGTCTCTCAGGTTCAAGCGATTCTCCTGCCCCAGCCTCTTGAGTTGCTGGGATGACAAGCATGCGCCACCATGCCTGGCTAATTGTTTGTATTTTTAGTAGAGACGGGGTCTCACCATCTTGGTCAGGCTGGTCTTGAACTCCTGACCTCAAATGATCTGCCTGCCTGGGCCTCCCAAAGTGCTAGGATTACAGGCGTGAGCCACTGCACCCGGTCTTGTTTTTCTTTTTGTTTTAAATTTTCTCCTCAAAATTGAACTTCAGAGAGTACATGTTTTGACCAAGCATGCCTCTTGTGGAATATCCCTTCAAGCTCTTCATCTCCCGCATCCCAGCAGAAAAGTGGGTGTTCTTCACGGGGCCTGGGCTGTACATGTGTGTCCTGCTGATCAGAACAAAGCAAGGCTTTCTTCCCAGGCTCTGGGAAGCCCCCTGGCAGGGTAGTCCAAGTATCACACAGCCGCCCCAGTTTCTTAGCCAGCCTCTCCTGAAGTCTCTGTGGATGGAGGCTGGAGAGGGCACAGGTGGGGCGGCTCTTTGCCCCACAGTCTTGTTGCTATGAGTCTGTGAGTGCTCTGGGGCTGCTGTCCAGGAGGAGAAAGACAGATGAAGCAGGAGGCTCAGTTGGCAGCCACTGTTCCACAAAGCTTCTTCGGGCAGCACGTGGGTCCTCTCTGTCTCCACCTCCAAACAGGCATTATTGTACTACACACTCGGACACAGCATCACGCTGTCTCTAGAACTGCTCTGTAAATGGAGTGGGAGCCTTTTCTGCTAAGGGCTAAAGTGTGAGCTCTCAAAGGTGTCTGCCATAATAAAAGGGACCTCTAGGAGGCCCCCAAAGTCTTTGCCCCTGTTGTGGGTTGAACTGTATGTATCCTTTGATATGAACCCCAGAGTTGAAGTCCTCACCCTTTTATCTCTGAATGTGACCTGATTTGGAAATAAGATCTTGGCAGATAGAATTACGATGTCAATTAAGATGAGGTCCCTCTGAATTAGGGTGGGCCCTTCATCCAACACCAGTGGTGTTCTTATGGAAAGAGAAGAGACACAGAGACAGATACACACACAGAGGAGGAAAAGTCATGCTGAGATACAGACACGGAGAGGCAAGATAACCACGTGGTGATGAAAGCGGAGACTGGAGTTCAGTTTCTGTAAGCCAAAGAATGCCAGTGATGACTGGCAACCTCCAGAAAACAGGGGAAGGACTGTGGCCCTGTCAATGCCTTGATTTTGGACTTCTAGCCTCCAGAACTGTGAGGGAATAAATTTCTGTTATCTTTAGTCGCTTAGTTTATGATAGGTTTGTTAATGGCAGCATGAATATGTGTGCTTGTAGTTGAGGAAGCTAATACACCCATTTTTCCATGAAATTAGAAAAAACACAGATACAAGTTATGAAGCATTTACCACATACTAGGCAGTGTTTGATATATACTATACCATTTGATTGTCGCAGAAATCAATAGTGTGGGTGTGTTTATTCTTTTAGTAACTGAGGATTCCAGAGAAGCTTAGCAATTGACCCAACATCACACAGCCGGTATATAGATGTGCTGCTGGAAATGAAATGTTGTCTCAGTAGCTCCCAAGCTTTGCCTCTGAGAGAATGAATCTCTTGGACAGTTGAGAGGGCAGGAGAAGATCACATGAATAGGTCTTCTCTGCCCAGAACACCTTCTTTGGCTCAACACAGGAGGTCCACTTGTCAGGTTAGGTCAACATCTAAATGACTGAAAGAGACTCAACCAAGCCTGGAATCCTACATGCTCTTGGAAACCATGAGATCAAGAGCCTTGCTTTTCAGTAGTCCTTGGAGTCTGGATACCTGCTAGGTTCTGGAACCCCACTGTTTGAGAGTCGGGGACCAGAAGGAGGAGTGGAGGATGAGAGTGGCCTACAGTGGCAGTCTGTGTTCCAGGACTATGTTTAGAAGATCATTTAGACGATGACTGTGAGCCCAACATCATGACAGGGCTCGATGACATCAGTTCTCCCTATTGCTGTGAAACAACGAAGGCTTGCTGTGTTCATCAGTCAACTGGATTCCACTTCCAAAGTACTCGCAATGCTTATAATTATGGGCAACTTGGAGAGAGATCCCAATTTGCCTCTGCTGGTTCAACAGAAACCACATTTGGAAACTTAAAGGGATGGTTATTACGCCTGTATCTTTGTTGTCAGCTGTGTTATCAGGGGATCATATTTTGTTCACCAAAGAAGCTTGAAAAACAATTTTAATGTTGTTGACAAAGAGTTTCCATGACTTTGGGCTCTTTGAGGCCAAGAACTATTTTACTTATGTCTTTATCCTCAGCTCTTAGCACTTCTCTGAGACAGCTTGTGATCAGTAATATTTTGTTGAATAAATGAATGAATGAGATCCTATTCATCTGGCAGAATATCCTTTAGTAGAAAATTTACCAACTCAAATGTTCATTTGTATCAACATCGGATCTAAGTACTCTTTCTGGTTTTTTTTCCTGCCTTTTCTACCCCTCCTCAAATTAAAAACAATAGCAGCAGCAACAGCAACAAAACAACCCCAGGAATAGTGGGCTTAAAGATTTTGCTTTTGTTTTTAATCAATATGAATGTAATGCTGAGAATAAAGCTGATACTTGGTAAATACATTTTCTTGATTTTTTTTTTCCACGTAGATACGTGGAAAGGGTTTTGTAGGCCTTAATATGGAAATAGCAGTTCCAATTTAGATTTTTTTTTTTTTTTTGAGACGGAGTTTCACTATTGTTACCCAGGCTGGAGTGAAATGGCGCGATCTCAGCTCACCACAACCTCTGCCTCCTGGGTTCAGGCAATTCTCCTGCCTCAGCCTCCTGAGTAGCTGGGATTACAGGCACACGCCACCATGCCCAGCTAATTTTTTGTATTTTTAGTAGAGACGGGGTTTCACCATGTTGACCAGGATGGTCTCGATCTCTTGACCTCATGATCCACCAGCCTCGGACTCCCAAAGTGCTGGGATTACAGGCTTGAGCCACTGCAACCGGCCCCAATTTAGATTTTAAGTCATTAAAACTTCAGATGGTTTCTAAAAGAAGTAAAATGACATGGAGGAAACCAAACCTTACGTGAATTCATACCTGATATTGCAAAACATACTTAGGAGTATGTTGTATTTGTTGCAACAGCTGACTGACAAGAATCTGGGAATTGAATGAATATTTTCAAAGAATTTTAGAGAATTATATGGGTCAGCGTGGTTGGCTGGTTTCATAAATTAAGGAATTTCTCACAACTGCTCTTTCCTTTCTCTTCTATGCAAGTAGCATGGCTCTGCCTTCAAAAGAAGCTCGTAATTAACTTTTGTTGCCCTGATAATTGTCAGCAGAAATCATTGTTTTTTCCACGTAGATACATGGAAAGGGTTTTGTAGGCCTTAATCACATCAATTGCCAGAACATCAATTGCCAGCCAACTATAGGTCACCGTCTCTTCTGTGTGAGATTTCAAGATGGAAACTACCATTTATGCGTTTAACTCTGTTTCGATTATTGAAGACTGTATTGTCCAGCAATAGGACAGTTAAAGACAACCTACTTATAATTCAAAATAACAAGCCCTAACACTAGGCATGATCAACCAGTGGCTGTTTCAGTTATATAAAAAATAACACAACATAGAAGGGATTCTACAGCCTCAACAATTTCAAGTATAGTACCATAGAAGGTGATGAAATGAAAGGAAAAGAGTCTCAAATTGGTGCCTTGGTCTAGAACAAGGTGCTTCTCAAACGTGGATGTGCATGTGAATCACCAGGGATCTTGTTAAATGAAGATTCTAATTCAGTAGTTCTAGAGTGAGGCCTGAGAGCCTCAATCTCCCAGGAGATGCCAATTCAGCTGGTCCAGAGACCACATTTTAAGAAGCAAGAGTCTGGAAGACATTAATAACACCTTTGAAAATGAGCTCTAGGTAGCTTCTTCTGGAATTTCAAGTAAGGCCAGTGAAAGCCACCCTTCAGTGCAAGTAAGTAAGAAGCTACATGTGATAATCATCATTCTTAAAGCATTTCCTTGCTCAGTGCATTTTGATCAAGATTTCCAGACCAGATCTCTCTCCTGAACTCCACACCTGTATAGCGAACGAATCACAGGACACCCCTCCTAAATGGTTTGCAGAATCCTTAACAAACAAGTTCCAAACAGAACTCATTACCTTCCCTGTTTCCCAAGGCCCTGTTGGGCTTCCTCTCTCAGTGCACAGTAGCTTCATCTACTCGGCTGCCCAAGTCAAAAATATGGGCATTAGCCTTTCTCTCCTTTCTCCCGGCATGAAGGGCTATCAAATTTTTCTTTAAATGAGCTCCTGAATGTACTCTTCTATCTGCTTTTAATTTAACGTAGAAAGTTTACATGTCAATGAAGCCCAAACTATCAGTGGAATAGACCTTACAGATCATGGCTGAACCCACTCAGCCTATAGGAGCTCCTTTGTCTCTCACACAGAGAGCCTCTTGCAAATTCACTTCTCCTCGGGTAGCTCTTGGCCAATGGCTGGAGAGTGTGGGAGTGTGGATGTCCAGCTTGCTGACTCAGGAGCAGACAACTTAGGGGTCTAACTTGTGCTCTGGAGCTGCCTGCAGGACTAGTCTGAAGCTAGGACTCAGGTTTCTGAGAAGGCAGCCTGGCTGTGTCTCCTCCCTTTTCCATTTGGCTTTCTTCACTCCCTTAATGATCTTCCCAGGAAATACTTACTTAATGAATCCCTTGCACACACATTTTCACCCGAGCCTGCTTCTGGGGAACCTGGCCTAAGACAGTGGTACTAGATTTAGAGAGAGGACCATTTCACACCTGACTGGGTTCCTGAGAAAGGCTGGGATATCTCTCAAGACATCTTTGAAAGCATGGAAGTCATTCTCATCCATGTTGGATGACATCAGTGTAAACATGCTTAGAGATAGAAAACGGTATTGTATGATAGTCAATACGTAATAATAATAATAAAAGAAAAATGAAGAGATACTTTCTCAAGAAGTTAATATTCAAACCTCACCAAATCAGATAGCTTATTCCCAGGGTTGCTGGTTTGCCTCTTTAAATTAAGAGTCTGTTCAGTAAAAGAAATGTAAAACTGTCTACAAGTTGAATCATGCAGGATGACATTTGTGAAAAGATCTCTTTCTCCCTGAGCAAACCCATTCACCCACCAGCACTCTTCTTGCAGGTCTGCTGGTTGCATTTTTTAAATTCTGGAGGTCTGGGTTCATGATCACACAGGCATCGGTCTTGGTCTTCAGTTTTATTGCCCTCTGAGGGCACACAATGGACAGTTCTCTTCTGAAAGCCACCTCCACAGGAAGTGGAACACTGAAAGAGAGAGTGAACAGAGAGTCAGAAGTCCTCCCCACGACTCCCAAGGAAACACCAGTAGAGCACCTCCAACCCCACTGTGGTCAAAAACGGAAACGTCTCATTAACCAGGATCCTTTTTGAAAGATTCATAGAATAAAGGCGCTAAGAATTTGGAGATGTGACGTTAGAAAGAATCTATGCTGTAGGTTGTGTGGCTTAAATTTGGCTGAATTTATTAGGTTCTCTGCAGAACGTGCTCTTCTTTCAAACATTTGAGAATGGCCGGATGCCTCTCATCACGTGGCTACAGCACCCGGCTCCAGGAACCAATGTTAGTGTGGTGGGACCCAGCCATCAGGCCACACTCGATTGGACTAGGGAAGGTCCCTGCATCAAACTGGGTCAATTGGTCACTTCCTTGGGAATCTGAATTGAGACTCAACAAGAGATTCCATCTAAGGCTGAAATTTGAAAACTCTGGTGGTGTTGGCAGCCACATTTCCTGCCAAGTAGAAGAACTGAAAACCAGATAGCAGAAAAGGTGATTGGAATGAAGCATGTGCTTAGAGAGGAATGGGAATGAGGGAGGCATTGCTCATGGGGTTCACACCCTTGGTTCTAGCTAAAACTCCCAACCCAAATATTCATCTTTGCATCATGAGTGTATGGAGTGAAACATATGGAGGGAGACTGAATTGCCAGCAAACCAGAATAAAATTTCAAATTTGGGTTGTGGTGTCCCAGTCTGAACTAATTTTGATTTGGGGCTGGGGATTGGATGTGAGGAAAAGGGGTGGAGTTACTAGGACAGCTGAGCACTGGGTAAAAAGAGAAGTGAGAGGGAAAGACCCCGGTGGCATAGAGAGAATGTGGAATGGGGGGAGAGACAGGGCTGAGCATGGAGGCTGGGGAAGGAGTAGAGCAACAGCGGACCCGGCTCTGTGTCTAGCCGTCCTCTCAAGCCCTTCTAACCATAAGGTTCCACTGCAATGTCATGATCGCCCACCTGGCAGCAGGGGGGAGATTCGCTGGCCTGTGAAAGCAGTTTACAAAGATTCTTCAGGATGTAAGAAAATGTCCCTGAAATTACTACATTTGCTCTTTACTTAAACTATTATTTTTTGAGCTAACATATATAAAACATAAAATATAACATTTAAACTTTTTCTTTTGAGACAAGGTCTGACTCTATTAGCCAGGCTGGAAGGAAGTGACATGATCTCTGCTCGCTGCAACCACCCTCTCCCGGGTTCAAGTGATTCTCCTACCTCAGACTCCCAAGTAGCTGGGACTACAGGCGTGTGCCACCACACTCAGCTATTTTTTTCCTCTGGCACACTTGCTAGGTCAATTGGAAGTTTAGCTGTTTCCAGATTCTAATTTTTGTGTGTGTGTATGAGGGGAGCTAAAGATCAGTGTAATTTTACAGATTCCAAAATGGTATGGACCCATCTCTCTGCTCTTGTCTCCTGTCCCCATCTTTGTCGTTGTGAGTTTGTGCCATTGTTAGTGTTTTATCTCTTCTGTCTATTCAGTGGAATTTTGAGAACAAAGGCAAATGTGTATGTTCAATCCATAGCTTGTGTAGTTTCACCTAATAATAGATCATGGAGGTTATGACTGATTCCAAAGGCTGGTCTGGTAGGTGTTAACCACTCTCCCACCCCCGCCCCCCATTCTTTGCTCTGAACAATTGGTGAATTCCTGACATACGCTCTTCTAAGGAGCTTCAACCCATGTCCACCCCTGATAGACTCACCTGGAACTCCAAGGGGAGACTTAAAAACATTTCTCTCACAATTTTTAATCTTCCATGAGATTGTTTCCCTGAATGGGCCCAAACTTACAGCATTTTTATGACTTCACATAATATCACGTCTTCTCTTTTAGAGGTCATGCTTGCTTTGATCAGAGATACTTAGAGCTCTGAGATATTTATGAAGAGCCTAGTCCTGAAATATATCCAGGAAGCTGGGGCAAGGCCTAGCAGGAGTAAGCATGGCCTCTGCTCAGGCTCATGTGGTTGGAGAAGGCCACTGCTGCCTTGATGTTAATAATGAATTTTGTGAAGCCCATGGCTATATCAGGCACACAAATCTTGCTCATATCAGTGAATATTAGTCTGGTAACTATTTATTGGGTGCCAACAGATAAACATTCTAACAAAGGGGCAACTGTTAAGTAAATATGATCAATCAACTTGATGGACTATTACTATAAATTATATAACATTAGTCCTGGCTCCGAGTACTTGGAGAGAAAATGACCTTGAAGTACGGTTTCCTTGGAACCTGCAGAGTTAAGGTAAATGCAAAAGATGATGACTGTCTTGTCTACTAGGAAATTCCTGACCGTAGGACTGTTCCCTACTGGAGGCCTGTGAGTTGGCATGTGGCTTTGGGCATGTATGACCAAAATAGTTTAAAATATTGTCAAGAAACTGAGGCTGAGGCTTGTGTCAAGGTGACCTGTGTGCACCTTGGCTCTCATTTCTTGCTACCCATATGTACCACGCTTGACAGACAAGGAAGCAAATGAAGTTGTATTCTAGGATAGTTACTGAAATTGTATCATTGGGAAGCAACCCTCTGCACAGGTGAGGCTGTTGTGCCTAATATAATTTCTGCCTGTATCCTTCTATACAGCTAAGTGAATTCAGTGTTAGAGACAAGCCTATCATGCCTCACATGTCTGACTCCCAGTAGATCGCCAATTTGACACAGCATTTGAGTGAATCACGGCTGAGCTGGTACAACTATGCAGCTATTAAGAATGAGAATTACAAACAGTAGAGCAGCCTACAAATACCTGGGGGCATTATGTTGGGCAAAATACTGCGTTCCTGTGTGTGTTGTTATTACAACCATCAAAACTTACAAGCACAGGAATAAGTTACTTTATAAAAGTGTTAGTAGTTGTGGTGTTAGTGTATCAGACCATCTTGGGTCCCCTGTCTCCCAGCTTCTGGCCCTAGGATCTGCCCCAGCTGAGATGGCAACCAACTTTCTGAAAGTGCAACCCAGTGGCCGTCACCTCATGCTATGTGTATTAGTCTGGTTTCACACTGCTATAAAGACATACCTGAGACTGGGTGATTTATAATGAAAGAGGTTTATTTGACTCACAGTTTCACAGGGCTGGGGAGGCCTCAGGAAACTCATAATTGTGGTGGAAGGGAAGAGGCATGTCTTACATGGCAGCAGGTAAGAAACAGTGGTGAGTGAAGTGGGAAGAGCCCCTTATAAAACCATCAGCACTTGTGAGAACTTACTATCACAAGAAGAGCATAGGGGAACTGCCTGGTGACCCATTCACCTCCCACTGGCTCTCTCCCTTGGCATGTGATAACTATAATTTGAGACGAGATTTGGGTGGGGACACAGAGCTAAACCATACCACCATGTCTCATGCCTCCCTGCTTCTGACTGGGCTTTCTTGTTGCCAGTGAGACATGAGACACAATGGGACTGGCTCAGTGCCCGTATCTGGACAGCCCAGAAGTATGGAGATATTAGCCCTCTAAAGGGAGACTCCATCAATGGGAGACAGGAGCCAGTGGATAACTCATATCCCTTCTTACTCTTCCCTCCTTTCCTGGATAAATTGCCATAACATGCCGTAGTTCACACAGTTTCTAGAAGTCTTCCTGTGAGAGCCAGCAATCAGTTGCTCCTGACATTAAGTGATAGTCAGTTAGGTAAGATAATCAGTCTAGTAACACTACTTCATTTTTGATTCTCCTTCTTCTATGCCTCCTTTCTCATTCCTATCACCCTTGCTTCCCTGGCATTGTATCTCCTAATAAAGTGTTAGATTTTTTTTCTCGAGGCTCTATTTTATAGGGAACCCATGATAAGACAAGTCAGAATGATGGAAGAATCTGTCCATGGGAGAATTTTCTTTATTTCCTTTTTCTGAGATGGAGTCTCATGCTGTCACCCAGGTTGGAGTGCAGTCACACAATCTTGGCTCACTGTAACCTCCTCCTCTTGGGTTCAAGTGATTCTCTTGCCTCAGCCTCCCAAGTATCTGGGGCTACAGGCATGTGCCACCATGCCTGGCTAATTTTTGTATTTTTAGTAGAGACAAGATTTTGCCATGTTGGCCAGGCTGGTCTTTAACTCCTGACCTCAGGTGATTCACCTGCCTTGGCCTCCCAAAGTGCTAGGATTACAGGTGTGAGTCACCACACCTGGCCAGAATTTTCTTTATTTTCAATATCACTGATAGAGTGTTATTTATGCAATAAACAAACTTACGAAGAACAATACCCATTTCCTTCATTTACAGTTTAATTATTTTGTTCCATCAAACAGGCCACTCATCTGGCAAACTGATCTGTGGGCTGACAAGAGGCCTGAAACTCACTAAGTCCGACTATGCCTAAAGCTTTAGGACAAATGCAGTTCTTCTTTGCTCTAGGAAAAGCCAGAGCATCCTAGGTGCTGGGTGTAAAATAGCTGTTTCTTAGGCTGTGTGCCTCGGGAATAACTTTGATATTTAATCTGGTCCCTTTTGAAAGTATTTGATCTTTTCCCTCTGAACTCAAGACGCATATCAGCCATGGGTCACCTTTTAGCAGACTTAGAGGTATTCAATGGCAGAAGAATACTAAAAACAAAGTATATAGAAACACGCTGTAAATCAGTGAATGCATTAAATATTTACAGTGAATATAGATTATTTTTGTAATCAAAAGAAAATGCACACTATTTTATTTTATTTTTTGCTTAAGCTAAGTGGTAGGAAACTATTTTTTTAAAAAGCTAAAGTAAAAACAGGCATCTATAACGGAGTCTTACCAGGTCCCAGTTCCCAGTGGCCCAGTGACAGCAGAGGTGCTCATTGCAGGACATGGTGGATGTGGGCCTTTTTGTCCAGTCACAGAGGCCTCCTGGGCAGAACACTCCTCTCTCCTGAACTCCACCCCCACAGGACCTGGAGCACTGATACACAGCAGTGACAAGATTAGGTAAAAGTCAGGAAGTTCTTCCCTTACAATGTTCAACGATAAGGGAAGAACTTTGTACTGTCATTTTTGTTGTGTACGGTGTTATTAATATTGGTATCTGCGCTGGAATTTATAGCATTCCTGCAGGTTCCTTATAATGACCTCTCGCTATTCAGAGACACAATGGGGAAACGAGAGTCAAGGAGAGGCAGGAGCACTGAGAAAGCAAATCTTGAAGATACGAGGAGACAAAAAGTCAGAAGATGCCAAATAGTCTGAGGTTAAATAATAGGTCAAAAGGAAGGAATTTTGTTTAAAAACCTAAATGAATGATGATTCCAGAATGGACATTATGTTATCTGCATCTTGTCTTCTGGGGCAAGTTTTTAGAAACAAAAATGTAAAATTTGGATTTTGTGTAATGATTATCCCTGACAACCCAAAAAGGAGGACATGTTGGCAATACCATTTGGTTTGCCTCCTATTAAAATGAGATTCACTCTTCCTTTTCTACTGCATACGTTTTAGGATTAAATTTGTCCATAGTAGGAGTAATAAAATGGCTAGATTTGCTCAGGACTCAAGGGTATTGGCTGTAATACTCGCAAAATAAATTCAAGATGACAAGTCAGATTTCTAAAAGGGTACAATTCTGAACCATGTCAAGTTTTTGGCTCACTAGAATAATTCTATAAGATGCATTATCTCATTTTCATGAGGTTTTTAGGAGGAAATAAAATAATTCACCAAGAATATTTAAAAATTTCTTTGAGTATTTTGAAAAGCACTTTGAAAAATCTTAGTTTTTAGTGTGGTTACAGCAATAACAACAACAAGATAATTATGGTTGCCTTGCAAACATCATGTCCATCACATCAGCCAGTGTGCGTGTGGTAGTACCAGAGGAAACGGGAATTATATGCGATTAACCTTTTCTGCTCAGTAAAGGAAATAATGAACTAATGTAGTGCCCTCACAATATTCCAGTTTTGAAAATCAACATGAACTTTTCCCTACTTATTCAATCTGTTTTTAACCCCATCTGAGGTGAGAGGGAGAGAAATTCTGTCTCTGGGATTCTTGTGCATACCTACCTATGTGTGCATAGATTCAGCCCCACCTGGCCAAGTAATTTCCAGGAAAAGGGGGTAAAAAAGTGGTTCCCAAATGCTCCTCAGACCAGCAACTTCAGCATCTTCTGAGTGTTTGTTAGAAATGCAAAATTTCAGGCCACCCCTCAGATCCCCAAATTGGCCCCTCTGGGGATGGGAGCCATCCATCTGTGTGTTGACAAGCCCTCTAGGTTGTCCTGCAGCATGTTAAAGCTTGACTACCACTGGTGTAGAGATGGTCCCACAGCTAAAATACACATGCCATGGAGGGTAGTCAGGATGGACTGATGCTTGTCAAATGGATTTAGAACATTCCCAGGATGACAGTCAGCACCATGAGCAGGGAAAGTACCTAAAGATGCCCAACCCCTTAACAGCAGCTCCAGGTACTCAACTGACTTTTATATTTTCTATCTCTACTGCTGCTTAAGAGGGAACTCTACCAACTTTGTTGTTTGCTCAGAACAGGGCAATTTAGAAAGAAGGGTGGCAGAAGGGCTTCAGGGAACAGGCTTCTGGTGGGGATCCTAGAAGCTATTGAGGAAACATAAAGAAAAGATCTTTTTCACAACCAGAAAGATTTGATTGCTCATCTTTGATCACTTGCAAATGCCACTTCTCTGACAGGGCAATCTAAGCTTCTCTGTGAATTCCTGGATTCTGGAAGCTGCTGCCTGAACAGGTCCAGGCCAGACTCAGCACATATGGAGAGTTTGGAGATCTGGGTTCAGAGCCTGGGAGTAGCAGGCGCTCATGTACTTCAGAACTGGCAGGGGAAGGAAGATGAAGAGGGGACAGTGGTGGCTGCTGCCCCAGAAGGCTCTAGGTAGTGGCCCAGAGACTTAGGAATCGGTGTGGATGCTTGGCCAATGGATGGTAAGTAACTGGGGGCTCAATCCTCCAGAGGCTTTGACACTAATTCTGTAGCCTCAGGTTGGGATTCTCTGCCTTCCCTTCACTGGCAAATGGTAGGTTCCCCTCAAAGTAGTTATTGATTCATTCTTTCTCCTTAGTTCACTTTTTGCTCAATGCCCATTGGGCTGATTTTCATAGCATAGCAGGATCAAAGATAGGCAATCAAATCTTTCTGGTTGTGAATGCCTTATGTTTGAATTAAAACTTCATTTATTTTCTCATCGTGTGTCTCTAAGTTTCTCAACCTGAGTCTCAATTTCTTCTCCTATAAAATAGGATTTAAAAGGCCTACCGGGCCAGGTGTGGTGGCTCACGCCTGTAATCTCAGCACTTTGGGAGGCTGAGGCGGGTGGATCACGAGGTCAAGAGATTGAGACCATCCTGGTCAACATGGTGAAACCCCGTCTCTACTAAAAATACAAAAAATTAGCTGGTCATGGTGGCACGGGCCTGTAGTCCCAGATGTTCAGGAGGCTGAGGCAGGAGAATTGCCTGAACCCAGGAGGCGGAGGTTGCGGTGAGCCGAGATCGCGCCATTGCACTCTAGCCTGGATAACAAGAGTGAAACTCCGTCTCAAAAAAAAAAAAAAAAAAAAAAAAAAAAGCCTACTATCCAGGTCATCCGAGTATCATTTACTTGGTTTAATTGTATCCATTAATTTTACTAGGCAAAGTGTCTAGCTCCTGGACACACTCAAATATGTGCGGTTGCTTTTCTTACTTTTTGGTCTTCTTTCTATCATTCATGGATGTAGTTGGGAATATGTTTTAGCTGCTGAGACATTGAAACATTTGCCTGTTGAAACATAAGATCATCATACTTCAAAGAACTTCAGCAAAGTAACCTTGTTCTCATGTGCAAAAGTAAAACCAAGACCCAGCAGAGCCAGGGCCCTCACAAAAGAGAGGACACACACACACACACACATGCACTCACAATTTTACAATGATCAGAGAGATGGAAGAGATGAAATACTAATATTACTACACATACTGCGGAAAAGATAGGGCTGTTTCTCTCAGCCTGACTACAGAAGCCTCAGAGAGTCATGTTAGGCTCTGTCTGTAAATGGCTCTCATCAGAGTCACCCTTGTTCAAATCATCCCATTGTATTCGTTTCTCCAGCAGGGATACCAACTCCCTAGTATATTCATTGGGAGACCAGGTTACAACACAACATGGAACTGTTGTGATTAAAACCATAAGATATAGTCTTCTCTGTAGAATCTTTTCACCTCCTAAAAGTCTTGGACCCATCTGGCTTCCCACGTACAGGGTGAGGTCACAAAACAGAGGCCAGTCATTGGCAGGACACAGTGTGATCCTCCCTGATTTCTATGCTCATGCAGTAACACAGAGATTCATGGCTTGCCAGGTTGTGTGAAGACATGTTTCCCTTTCTGGGGACCATACCTGGCTCCAAGGCTCCACCTGCCACTCCTCACAGGGCTCGGGGTTACAGCTCATGCTCAGTGGGGGAGGAATGCCAGCCAGGAACTGGCAGTGAAATGGCCTCAGGTTCCGGTGGTCCCGGCTGTCCACGCACTGAATCTCACGTATCTTGAAGCCCCCACTGCAGTTTCTGGAGCACTGTATGGAGAGCAAAAGCAAAAGCAATCTCTGAGTCATTGGCATCAGGCCTCCCTTACTTCCCCTCGGCCGTAGAGGTACCAGGCATCCAGTCATAAAGAGGGGTTAGGTCTAGTTCCAGTGGACCCTGCTTTCCCTCCACACTGCAGAGCAGGAGGCACCCCAGCAGCTCCCCATGTTGGGAAACACATGCATAGAAGTGTGAGGGTTTTGAGGGCTGACAGAGCTGGGTGAGAATTCCAGTTCTGCACCCACTAGTCATGAGCCCTTGAGCCAGTCACCAAAGTACGCTGAGTCTCTGGTGTCCCATCTGTAAACTGGGATCATAACTGCTACCTCATAGCTGTGGGGAGATTATAGACCCTGGGGCTGGAGTGCCTGCTGGTGAGTGGGCATTCCCTTTAGAAGTCAGTATTCACTGGAGGCAGAGTGGCCTGCCTACTGCTTCCCAGGAAGGCGCGTTGCTGCTAAGCTTTCTCCGCCTTTCCTTCAGAATCCTGGTTTTCTCTATGATGCTGAATGCAGAATAGGTTACTGTGTCTCTCTCATCAAGGGCCTTGAGTAGGGAAATAAACTGAATAACTGCTCAGTGGTTTGACTCATGGGTGTGAGCAAACCCTGTCCTTCCCCCCAACCTCAGCATTCCTCCTGCAGCCATCATTGAGCATCTTCTCAGCATGTGCCCCTGATAGCCATTAAACAGGCCCTACTCACTCCCCTCCTCTCTGACCCCACCCCTTGTGCAGAAGCCCAGGTTTGCCAGAAGGCTGCTGACTTCCCTAGGACTGTGATAAACACTGAGGGGCCTGGGTCACCTACAGCCAGAGTTTATGTGGCCTGTTCTGGAGTGCTGCTTGTGTTGACTCTGACCTCTTGGATTTTGGCAGTTACCCCCTCCACCACCTACAAAGATTTTATCTGATCATAACTTGGGCTTCTAGAACTGGCTTTCTAGTCTGTTTAGAACCCCAGTGCTTGCCATGCTCCTTCTGCTTGTCTTCCCTCTGCAGAGTGGTGTCTTATGGTCAGATGTGGCCTGACTGGTCTAGTCACTGCTCACACTGAGGTGGGACCTGAAGTAGGTGGGATGGAGGCTAACATCTGTGCTCGTCAGCCCAGCTTCTCCTCAGGTTAGTACAATGTTCTTGGGGTTCCCGTGTTCTGAATGTTCCTTCCTCTGGTCTCTGCATTATCCACTACTGCTCTTTTTATGAATGCCTCAGCTTCAATGGCACCTCCTCAGAGGGGTCCTCCTGGAATACCTGATCTAAAGGAGGCAATTCCTCTTGTAAACTGTCTCAGTTCCTCTTCTGTGTTCATCCCAGAAAGCTAAACTGCAAACCATCTTTTATTGATTTTGTCCATCTTTTGATTATCTATCACTGCCGTGAAAGCAGAGCCTGTCCCGCCCTGTCCTGCATTGCACCATGAGTCCCTAGCACAGGGACAGGCATGGCATAGATGGCCATCATGCAGCTGTTGCATAAACATTGAATTCTGAGAAAATGCCAGCGGGGAGGGCTCCCAATGGATTAAAAAGATCTCTGGTAATCACAGGATAAAGAATTTCTTTCTTTACCCTCTGAATCCTTCCATCAATGATCCCATTGGCAGTCTTGGCCAAGGAAACAAGTCACCAAGAAAGTGTCCCTTGCTCTAAGGTATATTTTCATCTGGCTCTTCTCTCTGCAGGATAAAAGACCACGCTGTCTTTCTGCCTATGGTGGAATAGCCATGATTGTAGGGCTGTGGTTGAGGAGAGAAAATTCCTCAAGACATTTCGGAAGAAACAGACTCCAAAATGCAGCTCCCCCTTCTTCCTCTGCTTAGCAGATTTCACCAAGTCACCTGACTTCAAACATTGGTCTGTAACTTGGAAACACTTGGGCCAATGTGGAAAGGGGAAGATTGATGCTCTGATACTTCCACAAATCAAGTGTGTTTAGTTTATCAGGAATAAGCAACATTTGCCAACAGCTTCCTAAAAGTACAAATTAAAAACATTATTTTCCTGCCACATCTTAAACACATAAAGAAAACCAGTAACAACAAACTTAAAATTCACGAAAGCATGCTAATAGCTTCCACTAAAAACAACTATTTGTCTGACAAAATAAATTACCAGGGAATAGCACATAGTTAAAACAAGAGTACTTTTTTATTAGGAAACAGGGATTTAAAAGACATAAGCATAAGATGAGACTTTACTTTTTAATTTTCCATTTGTTTGTCTAATCTGTTATTCCTAAATTTATTTTTCAAATTAGCATTACTCTTTTGTCAAGAGCGTGTCCACATTCAGTGGGAAATAAAATTTACTAATATGCTGAAGTAAGTAATAAAGGAAGACACTCATTAAATCTATGATTTTTCTATTCCAATTTCAAAAGCCTCTGATTCTGTTGGCAAGAGGGAAGGGAAGTGACAACATAGTAAGTCTCTCCAGTCCTAATGCTCTTTTGCTTTTGTGTATATTTATTTTCTCATTGCCTAAGAGGACGGCCATTTGTACTCCTGTTTTTCTAACCTAAAGCCTGCAAACCAGACTGAGGACAAGAGGCTGGTCGATGAGAACAGAAAGACTGATTAATGCCCTGTTGAAACCAAACAGACCTGATAGTATCCAGTTACCTCATCACTACATCAGTTTGTTTAACTCCTGTGATTTGCAAACCAAATTGAGTTAGAATGAAAACTAGCCTTAGCATACTGGGGCCACTGGCAGAGATAAAATGAAATCATAATCTTTTCTTTCTTGTGCTATTTTTGATATATGAAATCATCCTAATACATTTCCCAGGCTGGACTCCTATGGAGTATTCAGAGAAGTATAGCACAATGAACACACATAGGATCTGGGGACCAACAGACCAAATTCATGTATAGCCCTGGCATCAAGTGGCTATGTGACTGTGGATTAATCACTGCACTTCTCTAAGCCTCCATTTCTCCATTGGTATTCAAAAGAGGATAAAACTATGCCAGCATTCTAGAGTGTCATAAATACAAGAGATCACTGAGTTTGTGCTCTGTTTTGATTTTAGAGTCCTTTTTTCCTCTGAAAGTTATACATCAAATACTAAATCAGGATACAAAAAGTTTTCTTTCTGGCCTTTTTCTTATGCTAAACACATTCATAAGACCCATAAAATAATGCAAAGATCAGATAGTTGTAGTTGTCTGGTCTTATTTCTGGGTTCTCTATTCTGATCCATTGGTCTATGTGTCTATTTTTGTACCAGCACCATGCTGTTTTGGTTACTATAGCCCTGTAGTATACTCTGAAGTCTCTTAGCCTGTTGCCTCCAGCTTTGTTCTTAAGCAATTACAACAAAAGCAAAAATTGACAAATGGGATCTAATTAAACTAAAGAGCTTCTGTACAGCAAAACAAACTATCAACATAGTAAACAGACAACCTACAGAATGGGAGAAAACTTTGGCAAACTATGCACCTCACAAAGCTCTAATAGCCAGCATTTCTAAGGAACTTAAATTTATACAAAAAATTACAAACAACCACATAAAAAAGTGGGCAAAAGATATGAACAGACATTTTTCAAAAAAAGACATACATGTGGTCATCAATCATATGAAAAAAAGACAGAGAAAGATGGGCAGAGGCCACCATGGACAGTCTCGTGGTCTGGACATTGGTGGTCTTGGGGTCATTTTTTATATGGTCCTAAAGGCTTCCATTTAATTGCCACTCCTCTAACCATTTCTTCTTGAGAATCTCTTAATCTGAAATGTTCAGGGGTATCAAAAGAGGGTGATAGTTTAGACATAGAAAGAAATTATACCAAGAGTAAAATAAATGCAGGGATATTCAGTGTATGGTCCACCTTTCTGCTACTCAATTTTTGCCTTCCAATGATGAAACTGTTCCATAACATACACTTCTAGGTTTTAACTTTTGCACACTGGACTTTAGTAAATGTTTCTGGGAATATGCTGTGTATAAAAGTATGGTTTGTATATATTTAGGAAAACAAAGGCTATTCTCCCATTTTACTCATTTGTAAAAATTCAAATCCAGAAAATGCAGCATTGTCACAGACAATCTGTAAAATTCAATAAACATGGAGACAAGAACTAGAATAAGAGAGAAGGATTAGCTAGCAAATACATGAGACCAAGGCCATAAGGAAAGCCTGTCACGTCCTGTTATTTTCCAGCAAATGACTTAGATAATAAAGTTAACTACTGTTAAAATAAAATGTCAATGTTGCCTATGTGGGAAGAAAGATTATTACAAATAAAAAGTAAAAATCTTTCTGATTCTCTTCAGAAATAATGAAGATCTGCTAGACTTAACTATGAAAAGGGCAATGTTCATTCTAACAGAAGTAATAAAAGGGCTGTCAAATCAGCAGTTCCCAAAACGTCAGAAGAAACAGACAAAATGTTCAGTGAGCAGTTCCCAAAACTTCAGAAGAAACAAAGTGTGCAGAGCTGCAGATGATGCACGGCTTTGGTGTCAAACTCAGCTGACGATTTTTCAAGCTCATTTTTCTTACTTACTACTTTTTCCATCACAAGAATCACTTTTTCTCCCATATGAATTTTTTTAAGATGGTGTCTTACTCTGTTTCCCAGCCTGGAGTGCAGTGGCAGAATCTCAATTTACTGTAACCTTTGCCTCTTGGGCTCAAGTGATCTTCCCACCTCAGCCTCCGGTGTAGCTGGGACTATAGGTGTGCACCACCAAGCTTGGGTAATTTTTTGTATTTTCAGTAGAGATGAGGTTGTGCCATATTGCCCAGGCTGGTCTTAAACTGCTGAGGTCAAGTGATCGGTCTGCCTTGACCTCCCAAATTGCTGGGATTAGAGGCATGAGCCACTGTGCCCGGGCTCCCTCATATACATTTTAACATTCTGAAACTGGCATGTGTCCTATAACTGATGGACATATTAATTGTACAGTATTTTTTTCTTTATGAAAAGCTATAATTAAAATGACATAATCCCCAGGTGATAGTTTCTTAGAAATGAGACTATTCAATGCTAGTTTTGTAATCAAGTATATATCGGTGATTTTACTTTAAAGCCCTGATTTATACTAGGCCTATACTAATTTGTACTAGTTTATACTAAAGCCCTATTTAAGCATAAGTCCTATTTATACTCTAATCCCTAGTTTCCTTAGTGGGAATGATAAAGTCCTGTATTATGGTAAAAATAAAATCGTTTCTCCAAAGCTTCTGTGCAATTTCAGGCACGTGGCAGTACTAGCATCCATGCCAGGTCAAGTCCTCCAGAGTTCATGAACACATTGAGCACCCTGACTGCATAGTACTGGGGAGTGAACACCTTCTCAGACCAATTTCTCCAGTGGCAGGGCTTACTTCACTATCCTGTGCACACTTCCCAAGTCCAGAAAGCAAGACATTAGTAAATGTCCAATAGCCAGCCATAACTTTTACCTAGAGCTCAACAATTTTCCAGGGCTTTGTTTGAATGGTCTTTTATCATGTACAGAGTTTATTACACACATTTTCTCTTCTGATTCTTACAACAACTCTACAAGGTAAGTACAGGCAATATCATCCACTTCACTTCACGGGTGAGAAAACTAAAGCTCCTCGGTAGTTAGATGAATGGCCAGTGTCACATGCTGATTAGTGATTATGAGCAAATGCTCACTTGGCTGGCAAAATAGCGTGGGGGACATTTGAAGTAGAGGCACTGGCATGAACAGAGGCTGTGAACCCACACGGCTTGTCTGGGAATAGTAAGTTGGTCAGAGTGCTAGAATAGGGGATGGGGTAGACAGAGAAAGATGGGCAGAGGCCACCATGGAGAGTCTTATGGCCTGGACATTGGTGGTCTTGGAGTCATTTCTTATATGGTCCTAAAGGCTTCCACTTAATTGCCACTCCTCTAACCATTTCTTCTTGAGAATCTTTTAATCTGAAATGCTCAGAGATGTCAGGAGAGATTAATCCATAGAGATTAATCAATATATCTGCAACCCTATAGGCCATGAGAGAGACTCTATAGGCCAGGCAAGGAGTGAAGCCAGACTTTCCTTAGGAGGCCAGACCTCAGAAATGAGCTTGCTGATCTCTCATCCAGGGTTTGCCCTGGCTAGAGTCCCTTAGGCTGGAGCTGAGCTTTTCAAAATGCAAGCTGTTTCACACATCTGTCATTTTCATGAGCCATGTAATTTCCAGCGAAATGATTATTCCCAGTGAGAGCAAAGTGGAACTTTAGGACTTGGTCCACAGTTGGCAAGCTCAGGAATAGGACATATTTCTTGAGATTTCTCTGTATATGGAAGAGAATTTGTAGCCAAGCTTTCAGTCCTTATTGGATCCCAAGTTTGTTATGAGTTGGAAGAGAAATAAAAAAAACCAATATTGATTCTAGAAAGAAAAATGTTGTAGAAACAGAAAGAAGATGGCAATTTTCTCATCACAACCCCTTTCTTTCCAAAGATGACAGCCTTGCTTTGGGAAAGTGTCCTAAAGACTGACCATCAGACAGGAGCATCCCATGTTCCTGTCTGATGGTCAGTCTTCCAAGAGAACCAGAGACGGAAATGCCCAGTGCAACACCTCTTGGTCCTGTTTGTCTGGGGACATGAGCTCTTCACTAGATGAAGAAACTAATGTCCAGAGGTGACACCAGCCTTCTGAGCTAAACCTCTTGGGAAGCTCTTTTCCTTTCTCCTGTGTCTCAGCTATCAAGAGGAACCAGCTCCCTGGAGAGAAGACAGGAACCCAACAGGCTTCCTAGGGTTTAGCATGTATGGTAAACAAGTACATGCACAGCTCACACCTCTGTACTTCCTACCTGCCAACTGACCCTCAATCTCACTGTGGACCAATGTCTTATAGCCTTGAAATATCCCCCAAGGGCTGGCTAAGCCCTAGTCCAGAATGACAAGCAGATCAGGCCTAGTTAGTGTCCCAAAGCACCAAGGCTAACTAATCTGAAAACCTGATACATTATTTTTCCACCAATAACTGTGCAGACAGCACAACAGAATGAGTAGTCACAGTAAGATCAGCAAAGATGGTAAAATCGTGCTTTGAAAAGATCATTATGGCTGGGTGCAGTGGCTCATGCCTGTAATCTCAACACTTTGGGAAGCCAAGGTGGGTGGATGACTTGAGTTCAGGTGTTTGAGACCAACCTGGCCAACATGGTGAAGCCCATCTCTATTAAAAATACAAAAATCAGCTACGCTTGGTGGTGGGTGCCTGTAATCCTAGTAACTTGGGAGGCTTAGGCATGAGAATCGCTTGAACCCAGGAAGTGGAGGTTGCGGTGAGTCAAAGATCACACCACTGCATTCCAGCCTGGGTGACAGAGTGAGACGCTATCTCAAAAAAATAAAAATTAAAATTAAAAAGATCAGTATGGGGAATATACTTTTAAAGACAAAATTATTCTTTATATCTCAGCTTTCTTTTCATTTAGGGTCTGGCAGATTAATCTGTATATTTGCTTTGTGAAGCACAGGTGACTCATGATTTAATTATACATGTGATAATATAGGATTATTTATTAAAATGCTAAATTTAAGTAATATAAAAATAGTATTGCACGCTGGAGAAGGAATTAATTACACAAATTTAACTTTTCGGGTTTATCCACAGGCGGGGTTAACACATGTGGGTTAGTACAAACTGTACATCTAAGACGTTTGTGTAACTTGAATTAGGCCTGTGGGAATGCCCGTGGTTTATTCATCCCTGATTTTATAAGAGGCAGAGGGAAGCAGAAAGGTAGGGGAAGAAAACTGACATTAGCAAGTGCTTATATAAGATTCCCTCCCCAAACCACTGCCCACCCTCCACCTCCAAGACACTGCCAAGCCTGACAAGTTACCTTGCTCCAGTTTCCCACTTTCCAGCCAGCACAGGGACGGAGGTGGCATCTCTTTGCGGGGTCAGGTCTCTGGACGGCTGCGCAGTCGGAATCCATCTGGGTGCTGCACTCCACCCTTCTCCAGTAGGCCCCCAGACCACACGTGGTGGAGCACTGTGGCAGGGAAGGACAGAGAGAGATGACAGAGGCTGAGGGCCACCTTCTCACACATGCCCCATCACTGGGATCCTGGAGACAGTCCTCAGTCCCAGCTGCTCACTAAAATTGCCCATAGAGCTTTTAAAAACTTACCAACACTTGGGTCACCCAACTGTAGAAATCAATCTGAATCTCTTGGGGTAGGACCCAGGGATGATCAGTATTAAAAATAATTCCCCAGCTGATTTTAACAAACAGTCACAGTTGAGAAACTCTGATTTGTATATGGAAGGAAAATTCAATGCAAATGGACATTTGCTTCCCTTTAAAACTTACCCTGGCAGGCCAGGTGCAGTGGCTCATGCCTGTAATCCTAACACTTTGGGAGGCTGAGGCAGAAGGATCCTTTGAGCCCAGGAGTTTGAGATCAGTCTGGGCAACATAGGAAGAACCCATTTCTAAAAAAATTTGAATATTAGCCAGGTGTGGTGGTATGTGCCTGCACTCCCAGCTACTTAGGAGGCTGGGTTGGAAGGACTTCTTGAACCTAGGAATTTGAGGCAGCAGTGAGCTATGATTGCACCACCATGTTCCAGCCTGGGTGCCAGAGTGAGATCCTGTCTCAACAACAAAAAAATTATCCTGGCATAATTGCCCAGGGGGCTGCAGGCAGGCTGTCATATTTCTTACCAATGCTGTTTAGAGTGGATGCCAGGGACTGGTGTCTGCCCCTTGCCTCACCTCTCTAACACTGAATGACACTACCTCATCTATTTCTCTCCATGACAAAACCGTGATGTAGACTGGGATCATTACAGTGTAGATAAAGAAACAGGCTTTGAGAGATGACTTGGCCAAGGAGTTTTCTGTCTCTAGAACCCAGGACAATATTTGTTACAGTAGTGCACCTCAAACTTTAGAGACCATGTGAATTACCTGGGGACCTTGCTAAACACAGATTCTGACTCAGTGGGTCTGGGGAGGGGAGGAGACTGTGCCTTTTCGCAAGCTCCCAGGTGCTGCCGATGCTGTTGGTCTTCAGATCACACTTGGAGTTAGAAAGATGTTAGAGCACGAGGCTTTTCATCCCGTGATCCACTGGTGGTGAAGAACTCAGTCACCTTTTCCCACACATACATCTCACTCCCCTCAAAGTGTTTTTGTTTGTTTATAATACTTAAGTGTCTCAGGTTTAGCATGGGGTCACTTTGAAAACTATACAAATGTCCGCCACATAATTTGTTTGCTTTTATGTGCCTGATTCTTTCCTGTAACTGATTTTTCTTGCATCCCCTCTCCTCTGCTCATTCTCATGAAAAGGGGCGGCTTCTGGACGAGTAGCAGTGCTGAATTAAAAAAACACAGGGCATACGTTCCATCTTTGACATGCTTGAAGGTTTCTTTGGATAGGCTGTAAATAAAGACCAGACTTGTTTTTCTTGCTGTCTCTTCACTATCCACATACTTTTTTTTTTTTTGAGATGGAGTCTTGCCCTGTCGCCCAGGCTGGAGTGTGGTGGCACAATCTCAACTCACTGTAACCTTCACTTCCTGGGTTCAAGCAATTCTCTTGCCTCAGCCTCCTGAGTAGCTGGAATTACAGGTGTGTGCCACCACACCTGGCTAATTTTTCGTATTTTCGGTAGAGACTGGGTTTCACCTTATTAACCAGGCTGATCTCAAACTCCTGATCTCAGGTGATCCACCCTCCTCAGCCTCCCAAAATGCTGGTATTACAGGTGTGAGCCACCATATCTGGCCTTCACTCTCCACATAATTTTATGTTTCATTTTGTGCAGGTTTCTGTGTTATAACATATATAATGTAATAGAGTTCTTAGGTGGATAATATGTAGATCACTGAAAGGGAAAAGTAGAAATTATTTTCTACCACATCATCTTTTCCAAGTGGGTCATTTATAGAGGTAATATGTTCTCCTGCTTAAAATTGTTTAGGATTTGATTTGTTTCTTTTGTAAGTCCCTAGCACTTTCTCCTTTATATCATATTATGTATCTAGGTAATAGAGATAACAGGTGAAGTGCTATAGATTGATTGCACTCATGGCCTGCATCGTTCACACTTCCTTAAACCCATGCTCTTTGCAAGGGGACTTTGCAGCTTCTCTCATTCAGAGGTGGAATTTATTTCTCCAGCTCTTGAATCAGGTCGTTCTTGTGACTTGCTTTCCATTCTTGCTCTTGGACCCCTGCCTCTGCTATGAGAGTAAACCTGGGCTGGCCTGCTGGAGGATGAGGGCTCATTACTCAAAGCTGGCGACCTTGTGGCGACTGACTGACCAACTCAAGGGTCAGTGCCCAGGTGTTCAGAATCTCAACTGATGCTGAGGGGTCACATCAGCACCATATGAAAACTGATCTGAAATGCTGTGGAAAATTATGCCGTCACTTCCATTCTACATGACTACACAGTTTACAGTTAACTGACTGGTCCAAGGGATCTGACTGAATGATGAGGCAATTCAATGAGAGATGAGTGTCTATCAAAATAAGAGCCATAGCCATGCACACTGCACAGCACTGAAGTTTTCTGTTTTGTAAATATGGATCAGAGCAAACACAGAGTACTTCCTGTGTGTCTGACACTCTTCCGAGTAACTTACATATAGTTACTCCTTTTATCTCCTAGGTCATATGAGTTGGGCATTATTATCATCCTCATTTTATGGGTGAGGGAAATGAGGTAGAATGAGAACGTACAGCTGGTAATTTACTGAGTCAGGACTAAACCCCAGAAAGTCTGGCTTCAAGTTTTACATCTACATACAGTGTTAACTCAGCTTTTATATTAATTACTTAATATCTGAAAACACAATGAAAGGAATGTGCTGTGTCCACCGGGGCTGTGCACAGCCTCCCACAGGCCAGAAGGCGGAAGGACATTGCAAGAGCGACTTCAGATCACATCCAAGGAACTTCAGAAATCACTCCTGTTTTAGGAATCCAGAAAAGCTTTGTGCAGGATCAGACTCAAAGCTTGATCCTGAACAGGAAGGATTTAAAAGGGCAGAGGAGGAAAGGGAGAAAATTCAGGGAGAGGATCCAGTGTGAACAGAGACACCGGACTGGGAGAGGCAAGTTTAAGGCAACTGAGTAGTCTCTATTTGTTGAAGCTTAGAATGGATGAAGAAAAGCAGGAGGCAGTACATTTTGAAAGCTTGATTATGTAAGATTGGGAAGGCTGTTGGATGTTGGGTTGGAGTAGATTTTATTCAAACAACTATGAAATGAGATATCAAAGACTTATAAGCAGGAGTTTGGAATGATTGGAAGAGCTTTTTGGAGGTTGAATTTGGCAATCTTATGTCTTGTGCAACAGCGTGTGGAAAGATAGGAGAAGGGAGAGGCCGGAGGTGTGTAGAACAGCAAGGAGGCACGGGCAGGTGTTCTAAGCAGGAGGCGTAACCGAGGTCCTTCACTCTCATCTATTGGCCACCATCGGCATTTGGGACTCAACAACTCTTCCTTATAAGGGACTTTCCTGAATGTCATGGGACTTAAATCATTCACGGCTCTCAGACATTGAATTCTATTGCAGCCCTTTCCCCACATTGTTGTAAAAAACAAAAGCATCCTTCTCCATCTCTAAATTCCTCCTATCATTAGATTAGAAACTACTGGACCTTAGAGTAACAGAGAAAATAAAGAGGAGAGGACAGAAATGACGAAATGACACTGACTTGAAAAACTATTAACTTTTTTTTTTTTTTTGCTGTAGGACAGAGGCAAATTCATATCGATGGTGATTCTAGAGGGTTTAAGATGTGGTGATTGAGAGGTAAGTGACTCATAACACGGAGAGGCAACTACAAAGAAACAACTTCAAGAATAGGCAGAAATAAAAAGCAGGGACAATAAGGAACTCAAAACTCAGAGTTTTCATTCTGAACCTTGACACTCTCTGACATTTATTATTATTTTTTGAAACAGAGTCTAGCTCTGTTGCACAGTCTGGAGTGGGGTGGCTCGAATTTGGCTTACTGCCACCTCTACCTCCCAGATTCAAGTGTTTCTCATGCCCCAGGCTCCCGAGTAGCTGGGACTACAGGCATGCACCACCATGTCTGAGTAATTTTTATATTTTTTTTGTAGAGACAGGGTTTTGCCTTGTTGCCCAGGCTTGCCTCGAACTCCTGACCTCAAGTGATCCACCTGCCTCAGGCTCCCAGAGTGCTGGGATTATAGGCATAAGCCACCACGCCAGCCTTCAGTTCTATTTATTAAACATTTTCTCTCAAACTATGCACAAAGGGAGCAGGCACTGGCCCTGTCACAAGGGGGGACTCCTGCTGAATGTGGAGCTCTATTCTAGTAATAATCCTTACAGCTTTGAAAAACTCTGCCTTCAGAGCCAATATTCTTTTTCCAGCCAAACTGCCTAGCATTAATAGCTGCTAATGGTTCCACCACTGTTGCCAGTTTTTTTTGTGTGTGTGACCTATAACGTATTCAATAAGACAGTTTATTTCTGTCAAAGTCAAATAATGATGTTTGAGACAATTAATTCTCTATTTTGATTCACTATAATCAAAATGTGTTAATTAAACTTTGATCTCAAACAGTAATCATAGTTGATGCGTACTTTATTTTGGCTTAGCTCGCATGTTTTGTTAAATTAACATTTATCAATGAATTAACATATATTAAATATTCTCAAGACAAAAATCATTAAAGCACACTTAAATTCCATAATTCCACAACTGCTCTGGAATTTGTGATGAATGAAAAGATAAGAGGATGGTTATAAAACTAGTATCTGGATCATGATACAACCATTTGGTTTTTAGACACAATTTTAGTTCATAGGACCACCACCCAGCAGACCCCCAAAATTTAAATTAGTTGATTCAAATTGAATAGTCAATGACAGTCAAAACCCGAATGAATAGTGGTTCATGCTGATAATCCCAGTACTTTGGGAAGCTGAGGCAGAATTTTGCTTGAGGCCAGGAGTTCCAGAATAGCCTTGACAACATAGCAAGACTCCCATCTCTGCAAAAAATAATTTAAAAAATTATCTGAGTGCGGTGGTTGGCACCTGTTCCTATCTACTCTGGAGACTTAGGTGGGAAGATTGCTTGAGCCCAGGATTTCAGGATTTTTTTTTTTTTTGAAAGGAGAGAAGGAAAGAAAGAAAAAAAAAGGAGTGAAGGAAAGGAAGAAAGAGGAAGAAAAAGAGGGAGAGAGGACAGGAATATTGCTTTATTCTAAAAATGGGTATTAATAATGGCCAATCAATATTTTGTGTATTTAAAATGGAGAGCTCTATAAATATTTATTAAGTTTACTTGTTCCAGATCTGAGTTCAAGTCCTGGATGTCCTTATTAATTTTCTGTCTCGTTGAGTCTAAATCTCTTTATGGGTTTTATGTATCTGGGTGTTAGGATCGTTAGCTCTTATTGTTGCATTGATCCTTTTACCACTATATCTTTGTTGCTTTGAAATCTACTTTATCAGATGCGAGAATTGCAATTCCTGCTTTTTATTTATTTATTTATTTTTGCTCTCCATTTGGTTGATAAGTCTTTCTCCATCCCTTTGTTTTGAGTCTTTGTGTATCTTTGGATGTGAAATGGGTCTGGATTTAGCATACCGTTAGGTTTTGGCTGTATCTTTTGATTGGGGGATTTAGTGATTTAAATTTAGGGTTACTGCCATTTGATGTTAACTGGCTATTTTATCTATTCGTAGATATAAATTCTCCTTTATGTTGATGCTCTTTACTTTTTGGTATATTTTTAGAAAGGCTAATACTGGTTGTTCCTTTCTATGTATAATGCTTCTTTCAGAAGCTCTTGTAAAGCAGGCCTGGTGGTAATAAAATCTCTGAGTACTTGCTTGTTCATAAAAGGATTGTTATGAGCTATCATGTAGCCACTGCACTCCAACCTGGGTGATAGAGTGAGACCCTGTCTCCAAAAAAAGTCGATGAGTCAATGACAGACTCCTCTTCTCCTCTCTCTTCTTCATAGCCCATATCCCATTATTTACAAACCCAGCTGATTTTTAGTTCTAAATATATCTTAGATATATTTTCCCTTCTTCATCCTGAACATTCTTGCTATAGTTGTCATGCCTCATCTGGACTATTGCAATAACCTCCCTATAGGTCAAAACCCTCATCTTCATTGTTTCAGAATAGGCTACCTACAGTCAGCAACAGACAGTGCGAGGTATTCTAGGTACTTACTATAATCCTTTTTCCTCTTCTGGCCACATGATTTGATTGCATTTCCCAGCTTCCTTGAGTTTGGTTTGGCCATGTGACTTAGTTCTAGACAATGGAATGTAGGCAGAAGTGATTTGTCCCACTTCAAGACTTGGGGCAGACCACCTCCTACAGGAGTGCCTCTATGGCTCTTTTCTCTTTCTAATTGACTGGGATAGTGACCCCAAAGCAAATTTGATGATGGGAAGATGGCAGAGCCATTGTCAGCGTGGGTTCCCAAATGACTGCACCATCCTCTACCATCATCAGCATCGCAGACTGGAATCACCGTGTATAGCCATGTGATGGCGAATTCAACATCTCTCCCGGTAAGCCATCACTTCTTGGGCTGTATTTGTTACAGAAGCCTAGCCTTCCTAACATGTGTGAGTGTATGCACATGTGACTTCCAACTACATGTGCATACTGCACTTGTCATTCATACTTTCATGGTTCTGATGTCGATCCTACACATATGCCTTTTATCATCTACTTCTTCATATTCTGTTGACCTAGGCTGTCTTACTTTCATGGCCCACAGTGTCATTAATGCTTTCATTCCTTATCTCCATTAACTCAATATCAAAGTACAAGTTAATTAGTAGCCTCCACTTGTACAACGTGTTTTCTTTGTTTTTTAGTCCACAGAAGCCACACACCGTCTACACTGTGTCAACTGAAGGAAGACAGTAGGCCTGCTTATCTGCCCTTTCGGAATACCATATGATTTAGGAAGAAAAGATAAATCTTGAGAGTATTTGAAAGGTGCTGGCAGGTGCTTCTCCCAGTGTTCCCTCCCCATTCCGTAGGGCATGCTGAAGCACAAGTAGCTAGACTGCCGTTGGGGAATTTAATGCTATCACTTCAGAAATACCTAAACAGATCAATTTTATTTCAGAATATCTAGACTGGACCTACTGTGGTAATAGAAGGACAATTTGCCTCTGTAAACTCAAAGTAACATGAGTGGCCTCATGTTATTTTGAAGAACTTTCTTGTGAACTATGCGATTTTCTCATCTGATTACCCAAGGTCACAACATAGCTGGGATTATTCTCATATGTAATATGACCAAAGAAGAAACAAATATAATCAAAGGCACGAAGGATGGTAATGTTTTCTGATTTGCAGAGCTAGGGGTCATGGGTTCTGAAGTCCATCTGCCTGAGTTCAAATCCCCGTAGCTCACAGGTATGTACGATTCTGGCTAGCTACTTAAATTCCCTCAGCTTCAGTTTCCTTGCCTCTAATATAGGGAAAAATATTACCAATCTCCTGGGACTGTGATGAGGATTAAATGAGAGAATGTATGCTCCTTAGCATAAAATCATGCTTTTAAAGCCTGATGGATGCTTTATAAATGTTAACTGTCAACATCCTTCTCACTGTCAAGAGCCTGATTAGGAAAGAAACAGGACTAAAATGTCAGGAGTCATGAGACCCATTCATCTCCTTCCTTCAACAAATTGACTTGCTGTAAGCATGAACATCTTTTCTACCTCTGAAGGTGAATTCTTTACCTCCAAATGGAGATGGTAGGATGTTGCTCCATTGACAGGACATATAACTCATTCTATAAATCAAACATAAATCAAAGTGGAATAGTAGCTCAAATGCAAACAATTAGAGTATTTGATGCAAGAAATTTTGGAGGTTTGAATTTACCTATTTATTGCTTCTAGTCAATTCCATGACCAATGATGTTGATTAATTTATAGAAAATAATTTTATGCGGTTAAGTTATCAGTTGGTGCTAAGATCCACTAGAGAGATAGCAGATCAGAGTGGGGAGAGAGAGAAGGTTTGTCATCCAACTGCGTCCTCATACAAATCACTTAACTGTTACAGATCTCTTTTTCTATTTGCAAATTCATATCAATGAGACACTTACCTACTCATCAGGATGATCAAAAGGAAAAAATAAGAGACTGCCTGTGAAAGTGGTTTGGAAATTAACATGCTTTATAAATTATTATCCTTAACATTGTTATTTTTATATTAGCTGCTAATAGCTTACTTCCCTTTAGCTGTGGAGATGAATCATGAAGTGTCATAAAAATGCTGACTGATTTGAACGTGTGATTACTTTGTGTAAAGTCCTCTTTTGCATTGTTACATTATATTAACAAGTTTGTGTACTGAATATTCAGATTTCAAAGAGGTGAGAAATGATTTTGATGTTTCAGAGGTTGTAATTAGTTCTAGAAATGGAAAAACAAATATCAGCCAAATTTGTGGAGTGTGAAAATAGAGGCCAGCATGATTTCATCATGCTTATTTTCTTCTTCCTCTATATTCTAATTCTTTCAATAAGCCAAAATGATTGTTTAAAATGTAAGCACTAAGAAAAAAAAAATCACTGATACGGCAAGCTATACAATTGTTTTAACGAGTTTTGTCTTAGATGTCCATTCTATCTGTGATTACTTCACAATTTTAAACCAAATCTCAAAATTAGGTTTCTGATTGAAATGTGAACTCAGGCTTTTTCAGTGGTCTTTCATCACAGGATCATTGCAGTTTATGGCTGGAAGGGACATTAGAGATAATTTACACTAGGCTTATCAGTCTGCAGGCAAAAAGCAGGCTCAGAAAGATAGATGAATTCACCATGATCACACAGATGACTGACCAGCCTTCTTGGCTTAGTTCAGGGCACTTTTCACCATATCTTACTGCATTTGTTCTTCTTCTCTATATATAAGTTTTTAGCTTCCCTTTCCAGTGACATTTTAAGTCAACCCCCAAACGGTTGGCACTTGAACATGGACCACCCATGGGTCTTCACTGGTCATTTTACATGTCTCTGTCATGTATCCCTGACCTTAAAGCAGGTTTCTTAAGGATGGGGACTGCATAATGATTTCAAAAGGCTGCACAGACATTATTCTGTGTGATCCACACAACATCCCTATGAAATGTACAAGGCAGGAACTCTCATTGGCTTGTGGCGGGTAGAATCAGATTAAAAGCTAGACAATATATCTATAAAATTTCACAAGTTATGTAATTTATAGAATTTTTTTCCATTTGAAGAGTTAGGGGGGTAAGGAGGGAGATGAGAGTATGGTTCTGCTTGCTTCCTTTTGTTTTCATAGTAGAATGTCTTCATTCAAGTTCATTTTGAAATATTCACATGAATTTAACACTCCTAGCTTTTTTCCATGTAAAACCAGGCCTGGGGTAGGAAATGTCTTACCTCACTCCAGTTCCCAATGATCCAGTGTGCAGAGCTGTGGCCATTTGTGAGCCGCTTGTAATTGGAGGCATTCAGCAAAAAGCCCTCGGCAATCAGACTTGTTGCATCCTCCTCAGTCAGGACTGGCTGAGAACTTTTTGTTTGATTCATATCATTTGGAAGTTCCAGGTGGTTATGGTTTGCTGTGTTTCCTGAGGGTTCTTGCTGGTGGTCTCCTCCCAGAGGGAGCAGAGTGTTGGCTGGCTTTTCAGTTACCATCCCCTCAACTCTGGGTATCCCATTTTTGAGGGTACTGGGCCTTTGGCTGGGAAGCAGTCCTTCCATCACTGTGCTGAAGAGTGGCCATGGAGACTCCCTGCTGAGATCTGGTGTTAGGGGAGGTGCAAGTGGCATTTCTGTACTTCTTTCCACTGGAGCATCATTTCCAGGTACTCTGATCTTGGTCCATATTACAGGGTTGCTTTCATCTTTGCCCTCAGGCTCTTCCCTGTCTTCCCCTGAACCACTGTGAATCTCCGTTTCTGGGCCTTTGGTTAAGGTATTGTAAAACGGAGTCACAGGCCAAGTCATGGGGTTGCTGGAAGATGACAAGTCAGAACCACTTCTTGTTGTAGCTACAAGACCTCCCTCCCAGGTAGGACCAGTAGCTGAACTGGAAACATTTTTATCATTTGGCTGGATGCTCAAGGATGGGGCAGTGGGGATGGGCTGGGAAATGCTTCCAGTGGAAGTGAGATAGTAGGAACTCAGCTCAGGTTGGGTTGAGCTATTTTGCCACTGTTTCCCATCCAGGTCTCCTTCTTTGGAGGCTGTGGTAGGACTAGGGCTGCTGATTGCTGGAGTGCTTGTGCTCATAGACTCAGGGCCTATAGGTGTGGTCAGCATTCTGGGCCTGGATGTAGATGGAGGGATAGGTTTTAGGGGGTCTTGCTCAGGTGTTGGTGGGTTTTTTCCATTGAAAATTGTGCCTTTGTTGTGTTTCAGACCCCTCCGGCTGGATGGGCATTGCTGGAGGCCACATAGAGCTCGGCTATTGGGTTTCCTTGTCACATCGCAGGGTTCATCATGGTTCTTGGCACATGTGATGCTGCGAATCCGCACTCCACCACCACAGGAAACAGAACACTAGAAGAGAGAAACAGCTGTTAGCCTGGTGAGAAAAGATGCTTTTTTCTCATGGTCAGGTTCATAACAGATAAAGAGGCCTGGTGGAAACCACCATACAGCTAAAATTGCCTGCTATCCCTACGTTTTGTTTCTGTGCTCTTTCAGTTTTTCATGGAAATATGTATCTCTTGGAGACCAGCTGGGAGTCAGACTCAACAGTTTATTCTTCACAAACTGAAAATTTAAATCATGATGTAGTCAAACTGCAGTCCCTTTTGGCTGTGAAAGGTGTATGGTGGGATCCACAATGAGTGCCATGGTTTACACAAGTTGCCAAATCTTTTAAAGAGCTAGTAAGTCCTATTGTCTCTTCTCTGGGATTGTGATGTTATTAAATTAATGTATAAAGTTTGCATATTCTATGGAATATTAAGTTAGGTACAAGGAACCTTTCCCTTTACATTTAGAAACCAACTATCACAACTCCCACATTTTTCCCAGGTACCTCAAGCTCCATTTTTATTGGCCTATGGCAGGTGGAATCAGATTACAAGCTAGACCGTCACCATACTCACACAGGTGCACAGAGCCAAGACCTATTCTAAAATTTAAAGGTACATAGTTAATCAAAGGTAGGAGATAGCCTTTCCCAAGGAGTTAGGTGAATCCCTTAGCATGGCACTGAGGTGCACTCTGGGGTACTGGTAGGTGGCCCTCCCCAATGTTCCCTTCACATTCTGTAGGCCGTGCTGAAGCCCAAGCAGCTAGACTGCCTTTGGGAGAATCCTAACAGAACAGGCCTTCCTCAGGATACATGGAAAATAATGTTCATTGCATCAATTTCAACAGCTGTGAATGGCACATATGGAATTGCTATAAAACACTACATTTCTAGATATTTTGAAAAATCCATATTTTGCCAAACAGTTCAATTTTTAGCTCCCCTTTCCAATGGCATTTTCGGTCAACCACAAAACAGTTGGTACTTGAACACAGACCACCCAGGGTTCTTCCTTGGCCGTTTAACATTTTTCTGTCCTGTATCCCTGACCTCACAGCAGGTTTCTTAAGGATTGGGAGTGCATAATGATTTCAACGGGCTTCACAGACATTATTCTATATGATATACACAACGTCCCTATGAGGCGTACAAGGCAGGAACGGTTATTCTGCCTTTCACAAGTGAGGAACCTGAGACCCAGGGACTCACTTGAAAGGCAGCAAGTCAGTCACAGAATAAGCATTAGATTTATTCTACCCCGATTCCAAAACCTAGTGCAACACATTATAGAAGTAGCTGTCCATGGAGTTCACTCAGTGGCTTTCAATTTATGAAAAACTATCCAAAGGCGAGAACTGTGTTTTATTCGTAATGGAATTCAGAATTGTTCTGAGGACACAGTGATTACCTTGTACCTATTGATTCGGTGACTCGTTTACCTGGAAAAAATATTAGGAATGGAAAAATTCTCACTCATGAGCTTCTGCATTTAGTTGAAGACCCTTGCATTCTCAAGTTCTATTTTCAATTTTCTCTAAGCAGGAACATAATATTGTTGTAGAAAACCTCTCCTCTATTTTGTTTCAATCAAGCACAATCACTCACTAGTGTATAACAGCTCTGTGAAATCAGCTCTTTTGAAAATCAGGAGATGCTGTGAGCACAGGAGAATGTACAGCTGAGGGAGTGGCCAACTGTGGATTTGGGTTCAACCAGTAAAGCTGTGGATTTAAGATGTTCACAAAATATTAAAGCTGCTCCAAGACGGAACGTACAGATTTGTTTTGAAATAATAATACTAATAATAATATGGGTGGAAATGATCCTTAATGCACACTCATTTCCCACCAAAGTGCTACCAACTGCAAGTATCGGAGCCCACCAGGGAGGAAACAGTCTCTTCTGGCACTGTCCATGACTCACTTCTCCCTAGATCTGGAAAGGGAAGGCAGGAGGTATTAATTTTCCTGGTTTGCTGCACTACTTCTTTCCTTCTTGTGTAGAAAGATACTCTGCGCACCATCTATTTTAGTCACTCTGAGTCCCTCTCCATTTGTTACATTCTAATCTGAACATCTTGGATTTTCAGATCGCCACTTTGTAAAATTTACCAGGTTTGTATGTGTGAACACATTTCCATGCTGGCCACCTCAGGCAGGCTCAGTCTTGAGAGCTGATTGATAACGGAGGCCCCAGCACTGCCAGCTCTCCTCAGGCAGCAGGTGGTCCGTTTTTGGCTTCTCTTTCCATGAGGTATTAGACTAGATAGTAACATAATAGGAAATGCTTTGATTTTTCTTTTCCTTCTCCTCTTTCTTTTCTTTTTGGCTTCTTTTGATTTGAATGTCGCTAATATCTCTAAGGAAGTTAGCTTTACTTGTACACTTTTGCAAAATTTTTAAAAGGCAAAAGTATAGGGGCATACCCCTCCTCCTCCCCATTGAACTATTAAGTCAAAAAACTATAGAACCTCTGAGAAATAGCTTAAATTCCCTGATCTATCATATTAACTCCCTGCGTGATTTGGTGACTAAGCCTCAGCTTCTTCACCTGGAAACAGAAACAGCAGCACGTACTTTGAAGGCTGCTCTGTGGGATTACCTTCAACAACAGGCTTAACAGAGGTGTCACAATATATGAAGACAATTAATGATTGAAAGCTATTATTATCACTGTTCTAATAATGATGTTGATAACAGTAGTGATCACAATGAAGGTCTTGGGGTCCCCCAATTTCTACTACCCTTGACAGTGACACACAGAAGTGTCTCATCAGGGAGGGGTGAAGTGAGCAGCTGTCTGGGTGAGGTAGGTGCAAGGTGCAAGCACATGCCTATAAGATACGGTGGAGACTCACACACCCCACACTGGTTTACTGCTGGATGTTTTTAGATTCAGACTTCCTAGAGCTAATAGATGGATATGTGTTTTTCAAATTTACAAATAACAAGTACTAAGTAGTCTTCTGATGGTGTGAATTTGCTCAACCTAAAAGAGCAAGGCAGGGGTAAGTAATAACTACTGTATTAGTTCGTTTCATGCTGCTATGAAGAAATACCTGAGACTGGGAAATGTATAAAGGAAAGAGGTTTAACTGCCTTACAGTTCTGCATGGCTGGGGAGGCCTCAGGAAATTTATAATCATGGTAGAAGAAGAAGCAAACATGTCCTTCTTCACATGGCGGTAGGAGAGAGAAGTGCAGAGTGAAGCGGGGAAAGCCCCTTATAAAACCATTAGACATCATGAGAACTCACTATCACAAAAACAGCATGGGGAAACCACTCCCATGATCTAATCATCACTCACTAGGTATCTCCCTCAACACATGGGGATTACAATTTGGATTACCATTCAAGATGAGATTTGGGTGGGGACACAGAGCCAGACCATTTCAGCTACCTAGCTAGTTGCTGAGTTAAAAATACATTAGATTTTAATATTTTAAAACAGAAGATGGTTCTTGAAGAGGAGATCCAAAGTAGCAGCCTAATGGCTATGTTTGGCCCACTGCCTTGTATTCTTCAGCCTGCTCAATATTAAAACCTACTAACCTACCAACCAACAAACAAAAACCATAAACCAAAATAGTAGCCAACATTTTTAAAATGAGCAATTTTATGTTAGTAAAATACCTTAGTTTTGACTTCTTTTGGAAAAGCTGATAATCTTCATCTATTGCTCTCATTCTCAAATGGCAACCTAAATCCTGATTAATGAAGACTGGGGTCTGGGAGTTTATACATCAGCACATCTACCTTCCATCCACATCTACTTTCCTTAGCCAGCATACACCGAACCTTTAAAATAACCCACGATTGCCATTCCTTAGTTCTGGGGCACATTATGCCCATCTAGACAGTATTAGCTGTCTACCAAGTGCATTGGGCCTGAACACAAATTTGCCTTTTCTCCTACGCACTGCAGAACAGGAAGTGCTGCTTTGTATTCAGCTCCACGCTTCTTCCAGTACATCTTCCAACTGTGTTTATCTCCTTAGGAGCTGTCAAGCCCTTCAGATGAGATAAGTACAGTGCACAACACCGCACTCCAAACCCATCTCAATTGGTAGTTTCAGAATTCTCCAAACGAACTTCAGCTATGATTATCGTGTGTCCTTACCTTGTAATTTTGAACCCTGGGCCAGGCAAGCAGCATGTTAACCTGTTAACGTGCTCTCCAGGAGTCATTTTGCCCTCACTTGTCACTACTCCTGGATTCAGGCCTCTTGTGGGGGAACCCACTGAGAAAGAGTCTTGCTGCCAAATTTGTCAACTCCACCCACCTGTGGTGCACTGTGTGGGGTGAGGAGGCTCACAGTTGGCCCTGAGCTATAATGCTGAGGAAGAATTTATTCAAAAACACAGTTGGAGTGTATCAGAGGGCTTGGGCTAACGGGAGGAGTAGTGAAACAGTGAATACTTCAGGGATTAAAGCATTTAATGCACAATGTCAGAAATTTATACATGAATAATTAGATCTCATACAAACACCAGCTTTGAAAGTAAGCTAAACAAAATAGGTATCTGTTATGGGTTGAATTGTGTCCCTCTCAAAAAAGATATGTCAAAATCCCAATGCCCTTTAGCCTCAGAATTTGACCTTATTTATTAGAGACAGGATCTTTAAAGAGGTAATCAAGTTACAATAAGGTCATGAGGGTGGGCCCTGACTCACCCTCAAGGGGAAATCTGAACACAGAGATCACAGGCAGGTAGAACGTCATGTGAAGATGAAGGCAGAGGTTGGGGTGACGCATGTACAAACCAAGGAGCACCAAAGATTGACATCAAGCCATCAGAAGCTGGGAGAAAGGCATGGAACAATTGGCCCTCACAGCTTTCAGAAGGAAGCAACTTTGCCAATACCTTGATCTTGGATTTGTAGCCTCTGCAAGACAATAAATTCCTGTTGTTTAATCTGTCCAGTCTGTGGCACTTCATTAGGGCAGCCCTCAAAAACGAAGACAGTAGCCTAGATATTTTTTAAAAATCACACCTGATGAGAACAATCAACATA